CCTCCCAAAGTGCTGGATTACAGGTGTGAACCACCACGCCTGGCCAGAATCCAGTCTTGACATATGAAGTTCAAGATGCTTCTAGACATCTGTGATAGTTAATTTTATGTAGCAATGATGAAATTAACACTTAAATTGATGAACTTTGAGTAAGGCAGATTGCCCTCCATAATGCGGGTTGGCCTTACCCAACAAGTTGAGGGCGTGACTAGAACAAAATAGACCAGCCTCCCTGACAGAGAAGGAATTCTCTAGCACACTCCCTTTAGACTTCATTCATACCACAGGCTCTCCTGGGTCTCCAGCCTGCTTGCCCACACTGCAGATTTTGGACTTCTCAGCCTTCATAATCTTGTGAGTCAATTCCTTATAATAAATCCCTTTTTATATAGATAAATATTATAGATATTAAGAAGATACATAGATGTAGATTATGTGTTCTGTTTGGTCCTGTTGGTTTTATTTCTCTGGAGAACCTTGACTAATATAACATCCAACTGGAAACAGTGAGAAGGCAGCTAGGTACAGAAATTTGAAGATCAGGTATAAGATCTAGGATGAATATATATATCTGGAAGCCATCAACATTTAAATGGCATTTTTAAGATAAGAACACAAAGTAAGGAGAGATGGAACAGAGACACAGTCCTGGGTCTCAGCCTCGTGAAATCCCAATGTTTAGCAATTGGGAAGATGGAAAACAACCAGAAAAAGACTGAAAGGAGCAGGCAGTGAAGTAGGCTAAGAACAAAGAGTGAGTGTTATTCCAAAAGGCAAGTGAGCACAGTGTTAAAAGGAATGTGTAATGGGTCTGCTGTGTTAAATGTGAAAAATGAGATCCCTCTCAACATGTATTTTGCTGAGTTTAATTAGCAAATATATCCAGTATGCAAAGAAGAAACCCGCTGTAATGATCAATGCTACAAGTCACCAGAAACTGTCACTAGGCCAGGCACGGGGGTTCACGCTTGTAATCCCAGCACTTTAGGAGGCCAAGGCTGGCGGATCACTTGAGCTCAGGGGTTCAAAACCAGCCTGGGCAATATAGTGAAACCTCATCTCTATTAAAAATATAAAAAATTAGCTGGGCGTAGTGGTAAGCACCTGTAGTCCAGCTACTCAGGAGGCTGAGGAGGGAGGATCACTTGAGCCCGGGAGACAGAGGTTGCAGTGAGCTGAGACTATGCCACTGTACTCCAACCCGGGCGACAGAGTTAGACTCTGTCTCAAAAAAAAAAAAAAAAAAGAAAAAGAAAAAGAAACTATCATCAAAGTCTCCTAGTAACCTCTAATTCCTGTCTCATATAAAAGAAACCCCCAGTATTCCAGTGCCTCATCGCTCTTAAGTATTTCCCACAGTATACCTTCATATGATTTCTATACCTCAACTATCACTCTGCCAATGTATCATCTAGCTGATGAAAGTTAGGAATACTAACTTGTCCTTTTCAAGATGTACATTTGACTCAATAAAAGATACCCAAAATTTTATCACAGCATATATGCATACATTTCTTCAACAAACTGAGCGCCTACCATACGCCATGCAGTATGGTAGCTGCTAGAAATGAGGTGGTGAGAGACACTGCCTTGACTTTCAGAGACCAAAACAATATGAGAAGTGTGTTAGATACTATGGGGAAACAAAGGAGCGGCACCTGGAGGAAACTGGGAAACTGCTGAGTACTAAATAAGGACTTATTTAGTATTAGTACTAAATAAGGAAGTAATATGATAGCCCTGCCAGGGGACTAGACGGGAGGGAGACAGGTAGCAGGAAGAATGCTGTTTTGACAATACGGAGGGGAAAACTGGTGAAGGTCTGCAAGGAAGTCCTGGACTTGGGTAAGGAGAAAGGAGCAGGGCCAGTCAGGAGGTACAATCAACGATGCAGTGATTGGTTTGCTGTAAGGGATAAGGGAGAAAGAGAAGTCTAGAATCTAAGCTAGCTGACCAGGTCGTTGGCCCATGCTGTCACCATAAGCATGACAGTAACAGGTTTAGTGGAGTGAGAAGGGAAGGAGATGATGACTTTGTTTTTTTGACTGTGTGACTGTTGAGGTATACCATATCTAAGAGGGCATGTTCACTAGTCAATTGGATGCAAGGTCTGGGACTCTAGAAAGGTCAGTGGATATAAGCTTAGAGATTTATTAGACTGGAAGTAGGTTGATTTGGGTTGCCAAAAAGAGTGTGTAGACTGAGAAGAGAGAAGAGCAGAGGGCAGAACCCTGGAAAATTCTAAGCCATGGCTAGAGGATCAGAAAGAAGCCCACAAAGACACACTGGACAAGTGGGCATAGAGACACGAAGGAAAAAAGCAGTATCGTGAGCACGAAGAGAAGACAGTTTCTGAAAGGGAAAGATGTCAATCGTGTCACACGCCACAAAGAAGTCCAGGTAAGAAAGGAAACTCATTTTCTGGACTTACATGAAGAGAATAACCTTGCCACAAATGCCCTAACAAATTAGTAACTTCTTAAGTTTTCTAGGATGTCTTTATTGCTAAAATAACCTCAGATAGCCATAATTCTTTTATTTACATTGTGGTTTTATGTTTATTAAAGATAGTTCTATAAGTGAATCTATAATTATTTTAAAATAAACAGTTGTTTAAAATAGTCCCATAATATAATCCTTTAAAAGAGACTTGGAAATATTTACGTTTTTCCAGTAAACCTCACATTAGCTAACGTAGGATTCACACACTTGAATATCTACAGGGGCCAGGCAAGGAAAAAGAAGAGTTAAGCAATTTGAATTGGGGGCAGAGTGGGGGTGGCAAACAACTCAAAACCCACATCCTTTCTAAAAAGAGCAGCCAATAGCCAATTCTACTATATTGCCATAAGGGCCAATCTTGCCAGGTCATCTGGTTTTTTGAGAAAAGCCAGAAATATGAATTTTTACATAAAATTTCCCAATTTTAAAATGTACCCAGTGAATTTAATTTTTTTCAAAATATTTTGTAAATGTAACAAAATATATCAATAGGTCTGAGACGGCTCATGAACCATTTAGTTTTTTTACCTTCGCTCTAGAGTATATACAATATGGCATTTTAATCTTATACATTGAGAAGAAATTAAGTTGTAAATAAGAAAGGAGGCTGAGGAGGGAAGATCACTCATAAGCAGTAATACAGCTGGATGCAGAATCTAGTTCTTTTAGTCACCAAACTGTTATGTCTTTCCTCTGCGATTATACAGCTTCTTTACCTAACAAATGAAACATATACACAGGTTAGTCAGACATGCAAGTTAATAATCACAGCATGCTGTAATAAATTTAGGACAGACAGCATAAGCTTTCCACTTAATTAATCCAGATGCTGTCTCTATTGAAATGTCTGTAAGTGGGAGCTCCAGATGAGTCATCAAATCAACTGTCTTTGCCTCAAAAATTCTGCTTTAAAAGTATAGAACACAATTATAGCACGGTTTTGAGCAAAATTATAACTTAGCTAAATAAATATCTTTATATCAAATAACAACATCATGTAGATATTTTAAATTTCTGGAGAAAAGTTTAATTATTGCAGAGCTGATAGAAAGCTGGGCTCCAATTATTAAGACTTTAAGGACTGGCCGCTGTGGCTCACGCCTGTAATCCCAGCACTTTGGGAGGCTGAGACAGCCCAATCACCGGAGGCCAGGAGTTCAAGACCAGTCTGGCCAACATGGTGAAACTCCATCTCTACGAAAAATATAAGAATTAGTTGGGCGTGGTGGTGGTGCCTGTAGTACCAGCTACTCAGGAGGCTGAGGCAGGAGAATCGCTGGAACCTGATGGTGGAGGCTGCAGTGAGCCAAGATTGTGCCACTGTACTCCAGCCTGGGCGACACAGCGAGGCTCTGTCTCAAACAAAAACAAAAACAAAAAAACAAACAAAAACATAACTTTAGTACGACTATATCCATCCATTCACTCAACATATATGATGAACCTACAATTTCCTGTTCTCTAGGGATATTATTTTCCAGCTCAGGGCATATACATTTAAACTAATCATTTTCAGTAAAACATGGAGTGAGCGCTACAGGCGTACAGAAGGAAGGGGCTAGCATAGCCACTTAACTTCTTTGCCTTTGCTAACAGATCTCTAAAGTGAAGTATGCTGATTTTGCAAAAATCAAAGTCTCAGAGCTAGGGGACTTGGTGGGACACAGACCCATGTATTGTGACTGCAAGTTCACAGCTGAGATACCGTGAACAAAAAGGAATCACTCTTTCGTATTCCTCTCTTTCCCAAGGAGTCAGTGTACTCCTTTGCAAAGCAACTTTCACCTATAGAGTCCTAACAAATATTAGCTGTGTTTTCTGATTTAAGCCACTCAACTCAATGCCATGTTTTGTTTTCCTTTTGGGAGTCACCAACTAGCTTGGACTTGAAAGACGTCTTCTGTGCAAGGGGAAGCAAATCTTGCTGGCTGGAAGCAGCAGAATCAATCTGGCGCCAGGATCATCTGAATCTAGCAGTCTTTGCACAAACTCTAATCCAAATACAAACCCAGCAGCTTTTACTGCTGAAGTTTAATATTCACAGCAAAACCGCAACGTGACCTCACGTTGCCACTGGGCCCGGCTTCAGCTTTTGCTCGAGCTGGGTTTGGGCGATCTAAAACGAGGGACTGGGTGAAATGTTATTTATAGCCAGGGCCAGGAGAAGCCAAAGCCGACAGCGATTGCACTCCAGCGCGGGGCCGCCGCCATGCAAGCAGGTCGCACACCGCTCACCTTCACAGTCGGCCCCCGGTCGCCCCCCAGCCTCCTGGCCCTGCGCCAGCACCGGGTGAGAGACCCAAAGCCCGGCGCAAAAGGCCACCACGGCAACTGGGCTCGCGCACCACATGCTGGGCCAGCAGCTTCAATCGCCTCCGCCACCCGCAACCACCGCCCACCGAGGTGCCGAAGCGAGCTGACTAGAGTGCGAGGTTGGAAAGAATCTGCCGGTAGTTGCCAGGACAAATGACGCAACTGAACTGAGAGTTTCCATTGGCTCTCACGGAAGGGACAGGAAGGGGGCGGAGCGTAGAAGCCTTTTCCCGTCCCTCCCTGGTTGCGCGTGCGCACTATGCAGTTCCGCAGAGCGCAGAGACACGCGCTGAAGCTACTCGCGTACTGCGCGTGAAGAAAGGCAGAACCTTCACGCTGATTGGCGGCGACGCGGGAGGCTGTCGCGGCGGCCCGGACGCAGGGGGCGGGCGGGAACGTGAAGCTCCGCGGTGCCTGATGGGGCCGTTGGGCGGCTGGTAGCTGTTGCTGTTGGGGGACCCCTTCATTCCTACCGCCGCCGTCCCTGCTGCCTCATGGCGGCCATCGGAGTTCACCTGGGCTGCACCTCAGCCTGTGTGGCCGTCTATAAGGTGAGGGGCTGCGGAGCTGGGCTAGGGCTTCATGACGGCCACCCGGTTCTCTGGCGCGGGCTCATCCACAGGCTTGAGAGCGGCGTGTCGCCGGCCTAGGGATGTCGTGGAGTGGCGTTGCCGCGAGAACACTCCGGGGCGAAGGGCCGGGCGGGCCAGGCCTAGCCCCTGGCGACTCCTTCAGAAAGTTCTCTGCTCCGCGGCGACTTAGACGCGCAGAGTTCCAGGGGCGTCATGGCGGCGGGATGCCCAGAGGGGTCCCGGGGACAACGGAGCTGCAGGGTGCCCGGGGGGTCTCGGAAAAGGCGGGGCCGCTGGGTGTCCGGCGATGGGTCCCGGGGACGTCCTGGCCTCTGAAGGCCGGAAGGGTCTCGCTGACGTCAGGGCCTCAGGATTCCCTTGGGTGGGAGGTTCTCGGAAAGTGGCCGCGAGGTACTTGGAGGCGGTGGTCTTTGGGACAGCAGGGCCGCCGGACGTGCTGAGCTGGGCCCGAACGTCTAGGTCCCGGAGGGGCGGGGAGGCTGCTGTCGAGTTGGAGCTGATGGTCCTGCAACGCTGCCTGGCTGTGAAGCCAGTTGATTGTGCGTGCTCTACAGAGGTGGAAGTGAGAGCTTGACAGGACTTGTGGCCTTTCTCTCCTCAGTGGGGAGGCAGAAGGAACGATAATCATGAACTCCGTTGCCACTAGTTCCGCGTTTAAATGTCAAATGACTTGTTAGGAAAAGCCAAAGGGAATAATGCTACTTCATTTTGTAGAAATAGTAAGAAAGGGGCCCAGCGCGGTGGCTTACGCCTGTTATTCCAGCGCTTTGGGAAGCCAAGGCAGGCGGATCATGTGAGGTCAGGAGTTCGAGACCAGCCTGGCCAACATGGTGAAACCCCGCCTCTACTAAAAATACAAAAAAATTATCCGGGCTCGCCTGTAATCCCCGCTGCTCAGGAGGCTAAGGCATGAGAATCGCTTGAACCCTGAAGGCGGAGATTGCAGTGAGCCGAGATCCGCCACTGTAGTGTGCACTCCAGCCTGGGCCACAGAGCAAGACTCCGTCTCAAAAAAAAAAAAAGAAAGAAAGAAAAAGAAATGGTCATGGTAAGAAAGAAATAGGAAAGGTAACGTAATAATAGGCTTCTTCGTTTTGTGTGTAGAAAGGTTGTTATTACTTTTGATTCAATTGTTGACTTTGCAGAGCAGACTGAAAACATGAGGCAGTTCTTCATGGAGTTATAGGCCTTCTATGAAAACGAGGAAATTAAATGGTAATGAAATTTGCGAGTTTAAAATATTGAGAAAGCAGTTTTTCTTTCCACACAGATGGCAAAGTAACACTGGTGCACACATGTCTGAATACGTCTAATGAGACTATTTCATGTTTTTTTCTCTAGGATGGCCGGGCTGGTGTGGTTGCAAATGATGCTGGTGACCGAGTTACTCCAGCTGTTGTTGCTTACTCAGAAAATGAAGAGGTACTAGTCCCCTCATTTTTGTACTTGTGAAATAATTTAAAATTACAATTACATGCATTGTAATATATATATATATATTTCAGATTGTTGGATTGGCAGCAAAACAAAGTAGAATAAGAAATATTTCAAATACAGTAATGAAAGTAAAGCAGATCCTGGGCAGAAGGTATGGAATCAAATGATACTTTTAAATATAGTAATAGAAACATGTTCATAAATTCTAAGCATAATGTGAAACTAGAAACAGCATAGTTTGTTTCTTCATTTTATGACTGAGTCATTAGAGAGTACCCCCAGTAGGCTGTGTCTTTTGATTATTAGTGTTGGATCTTCTCCAGTATGGGATTCACTCAGATATTAGTTTCTTGCTGACAGGTCTGTTAGTATTGATAAATGCTAACATTCATTTAATTTTGGTAATTTGTGTCAGAGGTAGTAATTTGGATTGTTCACATTTTTAGTTTTTTTTTAACTGAGAGGATTTCAAAGATTTTGTGGGAATTTGAAGACTTCTTGATAATGTGGTTGAATTTTGCTGAATCTATTACAATTGTTCATAATAGATGTAGACACTATTGATTTTCTTCCTCATGATCTTTTGTGACACTTTCTGGGAACTAACTTTTCCATTGGACTTACAAATTTAATCATTAGAGTAACAGCTAAATTAACATCTTATGTAAGAATCAGATTAATCATCTGTTGTAACTTTAATTAGAAGATTAAAAGAGGCTTGCTTCCCCAGACTTCTGTCTCCTGAAATTATAGATTGCTGTAATAATTAGGGGTTTTCATTTTCACTACTGTAGTAATACTTGATAGAGTGTTTTTAAATTTTCAAAGTGCTTTCACATCTATTATTTTATTTAATCCTCTCAACATCCTTGTAAAATTGTCAAGGCAAATACTATCATTCCCCATTTATAGATGAGAAAATCAAGGTACAAAGAAATTTTTACCTTAGGTTAGGGGGTAAACTGGATAAGACTGCAGATCAGGTCTCCTCACCCTCTGCCCCAGGTTCTTTTCTTTCAACTTTGTTTAGTGAGAATGTAAGTAAAAATGTCCTTGTGTTGATTTAGAATTTGGATATTATAGATTAAATTTATACAGGTATCTCTTACCTGTTTATCTTATTTTGTATCTCTTACCTGTGTTCAATTAAATTGAACTTGATATTAATCTTTTTCCTTAGGATATTTATACACTAAGCCAAAAACTATAGTTGTTTGGAGATAATTCAATATTTGGTGACAATAAACATATCCCCATATCCTTTTACCTGTTGACAAAGTACTGAGCATATTAAATATAAGTTGGTGTCAAATATTTTCAAATCATAAAGTGTAGAAAAAAGAACTGTAGATGGGTCTTGAAGCCTGAATCACTGAGTAGCCAACAATATATTTGTTTGCTTTTTTAAATTAAACTTTTTATTTAGAGAGAATTGTAGTTTCCTATGCTGCTGTGTAAGAAATAATACAGAAATGTCAAGCACATGACTGGATTCACCACCTCTCCCCTTGGTTACATCTTGCAAAACTATAGTACAGTGTCACAACCAAGATGCTCACATTGATACAGTCCAGATACAGTATATTTCTATAGATCTCTCCCCTGGTAGCCAACAATATGTTACTGTTTGTTTTATGCTGCTGTTTGGGGGCAGATGGTTACGGTAATTATGTGGCTTTCTTCTGCCATATTGTACAAAAAAGCTTTGTATTAGCAGAGCAACTTAAACTCACTTTTCTGGCCCATAGTGACAGTCAGATGGGTAACACAGAGCCACAGTGTGCTATGATTAGTGAAGACTGAGCATCTTTCAGATTGCTATACCATGGTCATGCTTGGACTCCTTTAGAGTTAGCTGCCTCGTGGTCCAGGTGATTTTCCCTCCCAGCCCATCTGCTCACCAGACAAGGGTGATTTTTACAGATCCATTGTTGTACCAACTCTCAGCCACGAAAGCATTTGGCCCTTTTGTTACCAAGCCATTAGGTCCTTGGTGCAGTGTCTACCCTGGGTGAACTCCCGAACTTGGGCTGTCTCAGTCTTAGCCTCATGCCTGTTTATGACCTACTAACAGGTAGCATCACTTAACTTGCTGCCAAAATTATCCTTACACCCTTCCTGTAACTCTCATTCCCCTGTGGCCTTCCAGCCAGAAATGCGGTCCTTGGACCTGGCTTCTCAGCAATTATCCCTGAGAGGGAAGATCCTGGAGATATCCTGAGAGCACACAGAGCTTCCCCACACCTTCAGACTTGCACCTTGCTGTCCAGAAGCTGCCCAGCCCTCCTTTCCAACCCACAATGGCCAGTGCCAATAGCAGTGCGGGCATCCGGTGGTCCAGACAGGAGACACGAACTCTTCTCTCCATACTAGGCGAGGCAGAGTATATTCAGCGCCTCCAGACTGTGCATCACAATGCAGATGTCTATCAGGCTGTGTCTAAGCGAATGCAGCAGGAGGGCTTCCGCCGCACCGAACGTCAGTGCCGTTCCAAGTTTAAAGTTCTGAAGGCATTATATTTAAAGGCCTATGTTGCCCATGCCACAAGTATGGGTGAGCCACCACACTGTCCATTTTATGATACGTTGGATCAGCTTCTCCGAAATCAGATAGTGACTGACCCAGACAACTTAATGGAGGATGCTGCTTGGGCCAAGCACTGTGATCAGAATTTAGTGGCCTCTGACGCCCCAGGGGAAGAGGGAACCGGCATTCTAAAATCAAAAAGGACTCAGGCAGCTGATCATCAGCCTATGTTGAAAACAGTTAAGGAATCAGATGAGGATTGTCAGCTAAGAATCAGTGACCGGATACAAGAAACCAGTGACCTCGAGGACTCCTGGGATGAATCCTCGGGTGCAGGTAACTCCTAAGCATGTGAAGGATTCGGGTCCCAGAGTCACATGGCTCTAAACAGCCGTGTCTGTTTGGATAGTGTCCTCTTCAGCATAGTTCCTGTTTCTGCCTCATTCTGCCCCATGCACCTTTTTAAAAACCTAATAGTAAGCTAAAGGGTTCTAGGTTTTCAAAAGCTATGCCCATAGCAACATAAGGTATTAGAACTCTTTAAACCTAGAAGAAGTGCTCTCTAGAACCAAACTAGTTCTGGCATTATTAATAATGGGTAGTTAGGAATGTGTAGGTCTAGAGTGGGTTGGATAGCTATGTACAAAGGGGTTCAGGAAGGCAAGGGAGAAGTTTTAGAGGTGAAATTAAACAGGTCACAATGTCCAGATTAAGGAAATGGATTCTTCCCAGTCCCTGGTGGAAAGAGGCTTTCCAGGAACAACCATAGGTTTATAATTTGTCTCAGCTCTGCTGCTGGCTCCAAGCATTCCCTTAGCAGGAATGTTCTCTTTGCAACATTGTTGCTTTGTTTTTCAGGGTGCTCTCAAGGGACCCCCAGCTACAGCAGCTCCCACAGCCTTTTCAGAGGTGCAGTTGCTCCCTGTCAGAGCAGCCCCATGGCCAGACTGGGTGTGTCTGGGGAGCCTAGCCCCTGCACCAGCACCAGCCGCAGCACTCCTGGGGTAGCCTCCACACCGCAGACTCCAGTCTCCTCTTCGAGAGCTGGTTTTGTTTCTGGTGGGGATAGGCCCTTGACCAGTGAGCCCCCTCCAAGGTGGGCAAGGCGAAGAAGGCGGTCAGTGGCCAGGACTATTGCAGCCGAGTTGGCAGAAAACAGGCGATTGGCACGAGAACTCTCAAAGCGGGAGGAAGAAAAACTGGACAGGCTGATTGCTATTGGTGAGGAGGCCAGTGCTCAGCAAGACACTGCCAATGAGCTCCGCAGGGATGCTGTCATCGCAGTCAGACGTTTGGCAACAGCAGTGGAAGAGGCAACTGGTGCTTTTCAGCTAGGCCTTGAAAAATTGCTTCAGAGGTTGATTTCGAATACCAAAAGCTAGGAACCAATTACAAAAGGCTCTGTTTCCTAAACTGGTAGAAGTCTATTTTCCCAACCTGCCTTCTGAATCCCTGGCTCCTTTTCTATGTCCTCAGAAAAAAACATGGATGAACCATGTATATCCAGATAGTACAAATATAATTGCTAATTCATTTTCCCAAGATTCTCCACCAAATGGAAGACCTTTCAGAAATGCCAGGGGTGGCCTAATAGAAAACAATGGAGCCATGTTCTAGAGAGCTGGTTCATCGTAGCTTTGTCACAGATGTGAAGCAGTTTACTTTACCTCTCTCCAGCGGTTTCCTCATCTGTAAAATGGGGATCAATAATAACTCCTGCCCTGCCTACCTCACAGGGTTGTTGTGAGGATCACATGGTTCATAGATGTGAAAGAGTTTAAAAGTTTAAAAGCACTGTACACGTTTAAGTTATTAATGCATATGGCCTTGGCTGAGGTAAGGCACATTAGTTTACAAGATTCAGGAGTATGGATGTATACTGTGACTTCAATGCTTGAATCTTTCCTTTGCTGGTCTAACTTGACTGCTTCATGGAGTTTGAAATCTTAATTTTTAAAATCCTTGTGTGGCTCATTAGACTAGTATAAGCACAACCTGTATTTGTACCTTAATCTCTTACGTTTCCACTACTGTGTCTCTGACATATCTACTAGTAAGCACTCTTGTCAAACTGTCTTTCTAGCCTTCATTTTACTGGTTCTTAGTCTCTTATCAATATAAGGAAATAAGAAGTGCCAGGGAGCCACCATAGTGTGTTATGGTTTATATCGATAATCTTCAATATAAAATATTGGCCATTTTATAAAATATTAAATGTATGTAAATTCTTTGCATTTCATATTATTTGGGTCCCTTGATATGCCTAAATTACATCTTGAAGTTTCGGTTGCCATTAGAACATTGTGGAAACAATTCAGATTATATCAGTTTCCAATCTGCTTTTTAGCTGATTTCATTCTTTTCTGTTATTTTTTTGTCTAGTATGTTATACAGGGTAAGCCCTAGAAAACTTTACTTTTGAGCTTTCCAAGATTCCTTTTTCTCAGATGTTGTAGACAGAAGTTTATGTAGTTAATGGCATCTGGTGGAAGAGAACAGCTTTGTTTCCCTTTTAACTTTGGGAACAGTAGAGGACGGTGTGGATAAAGATTGCCTGCAATAGATGACTCCTTTTAAGCACTAGCCCTGAACAGATGAGCCTCCTCCCAACCTCAGACATACATTTTGAGAGAGATGAAGGTGATAAGCCACACTTCCGATTTACTCTAGAAGGGAAGACATTAATCTCTGTCATTAAACTAACTTAAAGCTTTTAGTGGTTTACTTAGTACTTTTAGGAATACAAATAGGAATCTTTGGGATTTAAAAAGTTTTCCCATAATCTAGAAGTTGGAAAAAAAGAAAAACAAAGAGTGGGCATGTTGGGGGAGGTTTTATTTTCTATTTTGCAGCCCCAAGTGCTTAGCTGAATGCTGGAAATGCACATGGGTGGAGAAATGGTCAGAGCAGCAGTGGGAACGTACCCAGAACCGTGAGTAGACAGCAAGCAAGCCGCTCTGCCAAGCCAGGGGTGGAGGTGTGAGGCAGCTGGTGTGGTAGAATATGCTGGAATCTAGTTAGAATTCCTGGATTTGAATCCTGTCACAGTTTGTTTCATCAGACAAATCATTTGCCCTTTTCTATTATTACTATTTTTTATGTTTTTGAGACAGTCTCACTGTTTTGCCCAGGCTGGAGTGCAGTGGTGCAATCTTGGCTCACTGCAACCTCTGCCTCCCAGGTTCAAGTGATTCTCCTGCCTCAGCCTCCCAAGTAGCCGGGATTACAGGCGTGAGCCACCGTGCCCATCTAATTCATGCCTCAATTTCTTCATCTCCAGATTGAGGGATTTGTACTAGATTTTTTTTTTCCTAGTACCTTTCAGCTCTAAAAAATTTTGAAATAGCATAATAAAAGGCAAAAAGAAAATGAAATTTTAATTGTAATATTTTCTGTCACAGCAGCATATGTATATTTGAAATACTGGTAACAATTGTAAGGTAGCATTCTCTGGTATTAATATTTATTAATATGCTCATGAACTTCTAAGCACCACACCAGACATACAGACTCTGCTTTAAAAGAGCATATACTTAAGGCATTGAAATGGATACAGCTATATTCATTGTCTCAATTGTCTTAGGCTATTATATGGAAAGATATATGTCAATTATAGGTAGGTAGGTAGATTTTCTGAAAAAACAGAAGTACTTGACGGAGAGTTAGGCCTGTATTCTATAAATCTATTAATGGTAGCTAAGTGCATAAGACAAGGATTTCTTTGAGATGAAAGGAGTGCTGAGGAAGAGAAGTGGAATTAATACTTGGATGTAGTATTGTGAAATTCAATGGGTAAAGTAACCCTAATGTGGGAATAAAAGTCAAGGGAAAGGTTTTGAATAAGTACACAGGATAATAGGCTAAAATTATTAAGGGGAGGAAAACTGCAATACAGGGAGACAGTGTGCAAGAAAGCAAGCCAGGAATCTGCCTATGTGGTAGACCCAACCATTACTACCTGAACCCCCTTAGAAAAGCCTTTCCAGCATTCCATAACTCAGGTTCCTCATTTATAGAGTGGGAAACTCATAACTGTCCTACCTACCTCACAGGGGTGTTGTGAGGATCAAAGGAACAGATGAATGTAAGAGCACTTTCAGATGTGTAATGCACTGTCATGTAACAAGTGGGGGAAAGACTCGAGCACATTAGTGCTGGTGTGTGCCAAGCCTGTGGGCTGTTGACCATAAGGGATATTTAAGAAGGAGGAGGAAGAGAAGATGGCATTGCTAATAAAGGTTGTGAGACACAACCATAGGATTAACTGCCTCCTCAAGTCCATCGTGTAAATAAGGTGCTACGTATACCAACTTCCCACCACCTTTGTTTTTCTGTTCAGTAATCCTGGTGTGGACAAATAAAGTTTTCACTTGTATGTAGTTACGGATCAGTCCACTACTTTGTGATGATGTCTGTGGTTCTTTGTTGCCTCCATTCTTTGCTTTGCTTTCTCCTCTGCTAAGTGTCTTGCCTGTCTGCGGCCCTTGGAGCTATATGTACTTTCTGTCTTCAGAGGACAGCGGCCCTCTTTATACGGCAGTTGAGAAATAATTTTCCATTTCTAAGAGTTCTACAAATTCTGTAAAATATCTTTCCTGGCAAATTATCTTGTCTGGGTGGTAGACAGCCTACACATAACAGTATAAATTTTTCTGGTTGACTTAAATTCTAAAGAAAACAGAACTAGAAAGTGTCATGCTGAAATTCTAATATTGGTGCAGAACCCACCATGAGCACACTTTATCTTTTTTTCCTACTCCTACAGTGTTTGGCATATAGTTAATATTAAATACTGAGTTTAGGAAAAGGAAGAAGCAAAGAGTTTAATGGAAAGAATACTAAGCTTTGTATTGAAGGTCTGGGTGCCAGCCAGTTATGCCATTAATTAGCTGTGTGACTTTGGGCAAGCTAGTTAGTTATCTCCTGTCCTATTGATATTTTAGGTGATAGAGAAGGAAGTATGAGGAACCTGAAAGTATTCCAGAGTCCGAAGCCAAATTAGTCCATTTTAAACCCCTTTTGTCTGCCTCTTAACAAGTTAAGGTCTCCAGATGCTCTGTAACCCTTCAGCAATTAGCCACTATGAATTTTCAATTTATCTTATTAAACAAATAATAGTCACAGCTCCTTGGAAGAAGGGTTTAATGGAAGGATACTAGTCTATTTTATCTTAATTTCTAGATGACATTAAGCCAAGAATCAGATTTCTATCCCTGCTCAAGGGACAGAAGTACTGTGATCATTTACAAGATGAGTGGGAGGCAGCCTGGTAAAGTATGAATAATAGTAGTCTGATAGAGAAGACCTGGGCTCATGTACTGACTCTGCCCCTTGTTATCTTATAAGTTATTGCCCGTCTCTGAAGCTCTTTTTCTCTAAAATAGTACCTGCCAAGCCCACCCAATTAGGTGTCGTGAGGATAAATTGAGATAATGTACATGAAAACATTTTGTAGTCTGCATAAGTTGCTTAAATCTGTTTATATATGCATATCTATAGTACTCTGCATCTTTCTATAAACAGCATTCATAGTTTGCTCAATCTTTTGGTTTCTGGAGTTGGTGTGTGTTCAGAAACCAAGCAACAAAAGATGGTCTTAGCTACTTTGGTTTGCCCTTAGTTTGCAACCTTCTCATCTCAGTGGTTAGGTCTTCAGAATCACAGGTGTGAAACTATGATATAAAATCATGGATATTATAAAAAGTCACCTCAAAATATATAGCATCTATTAATAGCAAGGCCAGAATACGAAAGCTATTTATTTTCAAATGCAAAGATCAGTACTTTAGTAGAATTACTATAACCCTTATAAATACTCCATTTCTATCTTCTGCAATATTTGAAGACTTAGTGTTAAGCAGCTTAATAACTTTGTTAATATTTTAATATTTGTTCAGTGATATTGAGAAATATAGTCTTCTTTAAACTTTATATATCTACAATACTGATTTTAATACTTAGCTATCTTTATCTTTCTTTATGGACAGCTCCAGTGATCCGCAAGCTCAGAAATACATCACGGAAAGTAAATGTTTAGTGAGTATGGTTCTATTATTGCTTCCCTGTTACACAGAGTAATTACCAAGGTCATAACATGTAATGTTGATTTGAAACTTTGCATTTTTATTAAAATTTATTTAGCATAATTATACTTTATTTTATAGGTCATTGAAAAAAATGGGAAATTACGATATGAAATAGATACTGGAGAAGAAACAAGATTTGTTAACCCAGAAGATGTTGTCAGACTGATATTTAGTAAAATGAAAGGTATTTAGCAAAAGATATCTAATAGTTACCTTTAATGATCTTTTGAAAGTTGACCTTAAAAAAGAAAAGTTAGAGGTATTTTTAGATCCTGGGAGAAACAGAGTGATAGAACAGATAAGTAAGGACATATAAACTGTAGACCTGGTTGGGGCACTAATTGACTATGTGCCCTTGATGACTTGCCTTCCCTGACTTTGATTTCCCTATAAGTCATATAAATGGATTAGGCCAAATAAGAGTTCAAAACCTATTTAGTGGCCAAGTAAGCTTGGTGAATAGTGGCACTTCAAGATTGACAGTATTCTGTGAACAATAATTTAGGCAGATTAAGTAGGTCTGCTTTTATTAGCAGTTCAGAGAAAGGCTCTGAGCCGAGTGGTATTCTGTCGAACAATTTGGGAAATTCTGGAATAGATTGTTTATAAGGCTCCCTTCAGCCCTGTAATGATGTTAAGAACTTGGGGGATGGAAGGCAGTCTTTAAATGTAGAGAACTAACATTATGACATTGTGTCTTCACACATATGCGTTAGGAGCTTATTCTCCATGGAGTCAGTCTAATTTAGAAGATGGTTGATACTAAAGCCTAAGAGCCAGGGTCTTTGGAAAGCTGATTCTGTGTCCAAAAGATATCACCAAAACCACCAGAAGTGCTGCATGATTTAAGAGCGCAGAGAAGAAAATTGACATGGGGGCAAGCAAGTGAATTGGGAAATATGTTTAGTGAGATCTTTGTCATAAATTAATAAACCTCAGAAAGTATCACTTGTCATTTTTTTCTGTCATCAGAATTTTATATTTTTTAATATGCAGAAACGGCACATTCTGTATTGGGCTCAGATGCAAATGATGTAGTTATTACTGTCCCATTTGATTTCGGAGAAAAGCAGAAAAATGCTCTTGGGTAAGTATATGGGGTTTATCTTACTGGCTTAAAGGAAATACAAAATCACTATATAGTAAAAGCTAACATTATATTTGAAAGTACCTTAGGCAATAAAATTGTATTTGTAAATAATTTAGTAAGGTAATGATCATTAATATGTATTTTTTTTTTTAATGAAATGCCAAGAGTCTGGGTGTGGTGGCTCACGCCTGTAATCCCAACATTTTGGGAGACTGAGCAGGGGCAGACCACCTGAGGTCAGGAGTTCGATACCCACCTAGCCAACATGGCAAAACCCTGTCTCTATTAAAATACGAAAATTAGCTGGGCATGGTGGTGCCACCTATAATCCCAGCTATTCGGGAGGCTGAAGCATAAGAATCGCTTGAACCCAGGAAGTAGAGGTTGTATTGAGCCAAAGTCGCGCCACTCCACTCCAGATTGGGTGACAGCGAGACTTCGTCTCAAAAAACAAAAAAACATATGCCAAGAGAACATAAAATTAAATATGGTGTACCCTCAGCTGTTTTGATCAGAAACATTTTAAATTACCTGGTTAAATTGACATTTATGAATCTCTTTGACTAGTTTTCTGTAATTAAGGTTTATGTGGGAATTACATGTGCAGTTTTAGAAAACGTTTGTGATTATTTCTTCACCTTAGATCTTAATCTAAACAAAAAAGTTATAGTTTTTACAGGTCATTATGCAAATGTATTGGTATGCTTTTATGCCTTTGCTATGCAGGATAGAGTTTCATACAAGGTTCTGGGCGTTGAAGTTGCCTCTGAGGCAGAGAATTGCCTTATTTACTTTTAAAAACTGAACACTAGATTAAAGAAATTGGAAAATTTCAAGTGTTTTATAAATTTGTCTTTCTACAGTTTTTGCATAGGCATTTTTTCTTTCAATAAATATGTATTCATTACTGTTTAAGCCACACTATTGAAGGTTGAGTAAATAGAGATAAACAGGACATGGTTTCTGATGTCACAGAATTAACAAGATAATTATGATAAAGTGTGGCAAGTACTTTGAATGGGGAAGTTCTGGATAGCATGAAGACAGGACACCTGTCCTAGACTCTGAGAGCCCCAAAAGACTCTCGTCTTTTGAACTTTTTTTTTTTACATTGACATTTTTGAGAGCTTTATTTCTCTTACTCAGTATATGTGCTTTTTGCTTGCTTTGTCAAGAATATGGGCTCTGAAGATTACAATTTTAAACAAAGTGATCTCTTATAGTCATTCATTTGTTTTCTATATTCTTGCTTCTAAAGATCATTATCCTTCATGTTCTACTTATGAAATCTTAGTAGCTTTTGTATAGAATCTTTAGCAGAGCATTTCTAAAAATGTAGAATTGAACATGTGATAAATTAAATTCATTGAAAGCAAATTGTTCACAGAGAAGCAGCTAGAGCTGCTGGATTTAATGTTTTGCGATTAATCCACGAACCGTCTGCAGCTCTTCTTGCTTATGGAATTGGACAAGACTCCCCTAATGGAAAAAGGTAAAGGTCATATTTGAAGTTTTAAGTTTTTTGAGTGCAGAAAACATTTTAGATTATAGCGATTATATCGGTAAAGATTATTATGTAATGCAGTGGTTCCCAACTTTTCTGGATGGAAAAACAGACTCTTTCCTAGAGTTTTTCAAGTAGTTGAGAAAGATGTCCTAGGAAAGCACAGGAAAAACATAATGGGAGAGAAGATTGAGCTTTTATGCCCTTGTCGTATTGCCCTCATTTTGTCCCTTTTTTGAGGGAAGATTTGAAAATTCTAGGCCTGGCCAGTTTCTTTTTTTTTTTTTTTTTTTGAGACGGAGTCTCGCTGTGTCACCCAGGCTGGAGTGCAGTGGCGCGATCTCGGCTCACTGCAAGCTCCGCCTCCCGGCTTTACGCCATTCTCCTGCCTCAGCCTCCGAGTAGCTGGGACTACAGGCGCCCGCCACCACGCCCAGCTAGTTTTTTGTATTTTTAGTAGAGACGGGGTTTCACCATGTTAGCCAGGATGGTCTCGATCTCCTGACTTCGTGATCCACCCGCCTCGGCCTCCCAAAGTACTGGGATTACAGGCTTGAGCCACCGCGCCCGGCCTGGCCTGGCCAGTTTCTAACTTAAGCTACCACACTGCTGATTTTTCTGCCAATTCCAGTTATTAGACATGTTTGCAAATAATAGATACTGTTATATACATTTGACAGGGCAGGAGATGGGAAATTTAACATGAGGTTTTGAGACTTCTTTTAATGGTGAAATACTAGAACATACTTATCCCTAATATAGCTGTCAATATGTCTTAATAGAATAGATAGTCGTTCAACTTTAGAGAAGTTAATTCAGATGCCGTGTTAATTTTACGTAATTGTTTCACCTCATTATTCTTATCTCCCAGTTAAGTAAATAAATATGTGTACACCATGAGGGAATTATTTTTAGATAAATGTGAGAATATCAAATTATGAGTTTTAATACATGGGGAATCAGGAATTAGCTCCTAATTTTGCATATGTAATATATCTACAGAACATGCAATTGCAGTAGTAACTTGCATAATATTAACACATAGAATTTCTGTGTTCAGTTCTCTTAAAATACACTATAATCACAAATCTCTTGATTTACTTTGAAAAGTTCGTGTTTTGAACTCCTTACTCAGAAGAATACAGTTGTATCTACGTGACTAAGTAAAAAAGAACTTTGATTTGGATGCAGAACGTCTCGAATCTAGGCTTGATTTGTCAATAAGTGACTGTAGACAACTTAGTTATTCATCTGAGATTTTCCGTTTCCTCATTTGTAATTTAAAGGGATTAAACTAAGTGACTTCTGATATCCAACTTAGTTTTAAAATGTTATTCCCTGATAACTTTATCTTCTCTTGAAGCAATATTTTGGTGTTTAAGCTTGGAGGAACATCCTTATCTCTCAGCGTCATGGAAGTTAACAGTGGAATATATCGGGTTCTTTCAACAAACACTGATGATAACATCGGTGGTGCACATTTCACAGAAACCTTAGCACAGTATCTAGCTTCTGAGTTCCAGAGGTGAGTATTAATGGCCTGAATAATACCTTCTGATTGAGGTTTTCCTTCAGATATTTTATTTTTTTTCCTAATTTATTTTAAGTTATCCTGCTGCAAAGCAGGATGTAGTTTTTTTCATTGCTTAGAAACTGGATATTTTCATATCTAGAGTTATAATGTCCTGTCCAGGCAATTCAGAGGCCAGGCTGCCTAGTGCAGTGTGCTTGGATTTTTCACTTAGTGTAAAGAGACCATTAGATACTGAACTGCATGAACTTGGATTTTAATTCTTCACGTGGTGCTCTTCTGTCTGGATAAAGGAGTGTATAGGCACTGAGGCTTCATTGCCTTCTGAACAGTTTTTAAAAGTTTGGCTCTGGTGAAGATTCCATTACATTATCTTCATATTCCAGTAAGTTATTGTCTTACAGAGTATTTATCTTAATTACTCATCTGCTGCTAGGAATATTTCAGCCTTGTTACTGAGTATAATTACTCCAAAATTCTAACCCTTTTGGATGTTACAAAAGTCAAATATGTAAAGATTATACTTTTTGGGTATTGCTGCTCTAAAAAAAAAAAAAAAAGTAATTGAAATGGTATTTTAGCCAGTTTGACCTAATTGGTTGAAGAAGTCTTGAAAAAGTCATAATGTCTCACTTGTTTGATAAAGATCTATATTGCTTTTTGTTATAAAATAGATGTTGTTTAAACAAAGTCATTCATCACTATTTAGTAAGAAGTTTTAAAAATGAACTCATATTGGAGATGGTGGAATGTAATTTTACATATTTTGTTGTATGTGTCAAATTTATGTGAAGAAAGACTTGTAGGGTTTTTTTTTCTTTTTAATGCTTGACAAATAATTTTATGCCATTAAACAGTGATTGTGCTGTGATTATAAAGGGTAAAATAGGAGACTTTGACGCAGTTACATAAATCTCCTTTAACCTCTGTGCCTCACCTGGGAAAGGGTGGTATCTACTCTACTTCAGAGTACAGCCTATTATTACAATTACATAATGCAGCAGTTCATGGTTATGTAATATAGCAATTCAGAGTATTAAGGAAATTGGTACTTCATTTTTCTTGAGGTGACCCCTTTAATTGCACAGAGTGTTTTAGGAAAGTTTAGAGGGATTCGAAGAGAAATACTGAAATCTGGAATAAAATATTGTTTCACTAATTTATTATTTATTTTATTTATTTATTTATTTAGAGTTTTGCTCTTGTCGCCCAGGTTGGAGTACAGTGGTGCAATCTTGGCTCACTACAATCTCTACCTCCCAGGTTCAAGCGATTCTTCTGCCTCAGCTTCCCAAGTAGCTGGGATTACAGGCATGCACACCCAGCTAATTTTGTATTTTTAGTAGAGATGAGGTTTCGCCATGTTGACCCTGGTTGATCTTGAACTCCTGACCTCGGGTGATCTACCTGCCTCAGCCTCCCAAAGTTGGGATTACAGGCGTGAGCCACCGCACCTGGCCTGATTCACTAATTTATTATTGTTTAATAAGGATTATCCAAATTTTAGTTACAATATTGTAAATGGCCCAGTAATTTTAAACCTCAAAGGCTATGTTTTTAATTTAGATCCTTCAAACACGATGTGAAAGGAAATGCGCGAGCCATGATGAAATTGATGAACAGTGCTGAAGTAGCGAAACATTCTTTGTCAACCTTGGGAAGTGCCAACTGTTTTCTTGACTCATTATATGAAGGTCAAGATTTTGATTGCAATGTGTCCAGGTAAAACTGAAGTTCAAAAAACTTTTTAAAAAAATTCCAAGAACATGTTTGTTTAGGTATAATTTTCTTACTTTGGGTTTTTGTTTGTTTGAAATTTGTCAACCATCTATAATGTCTTTACTTTTGGCGTCCAGTTTTTGTCAGACTAAGTAGCTGTTACCCGAGTAATTACATCAGTTGTGATTGCTTGCCCTGTTATTTTATGGCTACAATTAGGAGTGTGTGAAGGCATCCTAGAACCTTCAACCTAGATCCTACAAGTGATAAAGTACAAAGGGAGGAAGTGCTGTAGTCTTTGTGTTGCATATTTGCTAATAATAATGATACAGCCTATTCAGACCCCTCAACAACATAATAGGTGACTTGGAAGCATAGTGAAAATTTCCACGTCTGTAGGATCTTATTTTTTTTAGGATTCTACTGACTGTATTTGGTTAAATTCTCTTTTCATCTGTTTAGTTTAGCTTCTTCATTTTCCCCAGGCCTTCATGAAGACTCTAGATCTGCACTGCCCAACAAGAGAGCCACTAGCCACCTGTGGCTGCTTAAATTTAACTTAATTAGGATAACATTAAAAATGCAGTTCCTCAGTAGCACTCGCTGCGTTCAAATGTTCAGTAGTCATGTGGCTAGTGATTGGCAGAAAGGTCTGTTGGACAGCTATGCTCCAGATCTTTGAAGAAAGAGTTCAGGCTACAACTCAAAAGATAGAAAAGGCATTGCATTGAATTAGAATCTCTTTTTGGATAGAGTATGTGTATTTTCCTAGTTCCAGAATTCCTTAGGATTAAGTTTGTCCATGTCCTCGGTATATATTTGCTTTGTTAATCAGTAATTAAGAAGGAAATGAAATTTGTAATTTTTCATTAGGGAAATTTTTCCTTTGTCACAAAGATTTCAACCATAAAAGTATGCTTTACTGTCTATAAGGATTATAGATATTAATAGCGAGATAACATTAATTTTTAAGCCATTCATCTGCATTTAAGAAGTTCTGTATGAAGATTAGGGAGTACATTTTTCATGACTACAAATTTTTCTTAAAACTTTGTTACCTGCCAGCATTCAAGTTTCTCAGGGAGTACAGAGGGACTAAACTTATGTACAACATAGTCTCAAACTGTCAAGGAAAATCATTAGAAATAATTTTTAAAGTTTTAACATATAAAAATGACAAACTTTCAAATGATGGTTTGATTAGGTTCAATAGGTTTATTGTTGGGAATGCTATATGCTGGGTATGTGTTTTTAGATTTTTTATTTTTTGGAAGCTTATAAGTAGACCATAAACAAGATGGGCTTTCACTTGAATTTGATTTTATCTTCATACATATGTAGGTGAATGACCTAGACCCTCCTCTCTCCATGATATTGCACCACTCTTACCTAATACCTTATTCTGATGGTAAACCTGTCATTCAGAGAACTATCATATTAAGTTTTGGCATTACTCTTCACAAGAAAAGGAAAAGTGATATTTGTTTGATTGTACTGAGCCCTGTTTTGTCTTTCTCTTGTTTCTGTGTCTGTGTGTTTCTCTGTGTGTGTGTATGTGTGTACAGAGCAAGATTTGAACTTCTTTGTTCTCCACTTTTTAATAAGTGTATAGAAGCAATCAGAGGACTCTTAGATCAAAGTGGATTTACAGCAGATGATATCAACAAGGTAATGCTTTTACATTTTTCTTAGTTATTTTAGGTATAGTTTAAGACTTGGAATTTAGGAAATAGCTCTTGGTACTGAAAGAATATGTTTATGCATTTAAGTATTAGATTGTGTTAATGAATAAGGAAAAATTGATGAAATTTTGATTAATGGCTCTGGTGAACTCATTTTTGTATATTCAGTTTCCTAGCAAAACAGAATAATTCCTTTCCAGTGTATTTTTTATATGTAAGCATAGATAAGAGAGATATTTGAATACTTACTATGTGCCAGGCACTGTTTCCAAGAGTTCTACACATATTAACTTGTTGAATACTCACAATAACTCTGAGATAGGCATTATCATTTATCCCCAAGGTAAGCACTATTATTTATCCTAGTTTTGTAAGTGAAGGCACCAAGGTACAGAGATTAAGTGGCTTCCTGAAGATCACATGGTAAGTAGTAGAGCCAAGATGTAACCCAGTATCGTTCCTGTGTCTACTCATAACTAGTATACCAGGCTGCCTCCCGCTCCTTGCTTAGGAACATATTTTTAGACTTTCTAAAAAATTCAAATGTTTAGTATTTTCTTTTTTTCCCAAAATTATTTCTCTTCATTGAACATACTCTTTTTATCCATTTAAAACGAGCCAGGTGCAGTGGCTCAAGCCTGTAATGCCAACACTTTGGGAGGCCAAGGAGGGAGAACTGCTTAAGCCCAAGAGTTCAAGACTAGCCTTGGCTGTTTCATAGTGAGACCCTGTCTCAAAAAAAAAAAAAAAAATTAGCTGGGCATGGTGGTGGGCGTCTGTGGTCTCAGCTTCTTGGGAGGCTGAGGTGAGAAGATCACTTGGGCTCAGGGGTCAAGGCTGCAGTGAGCCGTGATTCCTACCACTGCACCCCAGCCGGGGGACAGAGCAAGACCCCATCTCAAAAATAAAATAAAAATAAAATGTATATGATTTTTAAAATTTTCATTATTAAAGAAGTATTCATGTAAGAAAGTTCAGAAAATACCAAAAGGCAGCTGTATTTCTAACTCGTGTAACTTCTATGCATAGGTGTGTTTGCTAGCTATAGTTTTGTGAATTTTTTTAATAACAGTTCTAATTCTGTATGTACAGTTTTGAATTTTGCCTAATTTATATAATATAACCAATCCCCCCCCCCCCCACATTACTATAGTCTTTATAAACACAATTTGGAATAGATTGCTAATGTCCGAAAAAAGGAAACGCACTGTAAATTTTTCACTGTGGTCCTGTTGTAGACACCTGGGTTTGGGTTTTTTCCTCCCCTGTAAGAGAATGATGCCTGTCTTTATACAGAGGCATTTATCATATTTAGGATTATTCCTTAGAGTAGATTCCCAAAGTAAAATACTAGGTCAAGAATAAAAATAGCTTAAGACTATTTTTACCTCAAGTTACTTTCCAAAAGAATTGAATTAACTAATATTCCCATCAGCAATATATAACAGTATACATTTTACTATAGCCTTGTCGACACTGAGTTATAGCATTTAAAGATAAATTTCCAATTGACTGTTGAAAAAAGATCTTTTCACTTTATATTTCATTGGCTACTAGAGTATTTTCTTTTTTCTTTTTCTTTCTTTTTTTTTTTTTGAAACGGAGTCTCACTCTGTCGCCCAGGCTGGAGTGCAGTGGTGTGATATCTGCTTACTGCAAGCTCCACCTCCTGGGTTCATGCCACTCTCCTGCCTCAGCCTCCCGAGTAGCTGGGATTGCAGGCGCCAGCCACCATGCCCGGCTAATTTTTTGTATTTTTAGTAGAGATGGGGTTTCACCGTGTTATCCAGGATGGTCTCGATCTCCTCACCTCGTGATCCACCCGCCTTGGCCTCCCAAAGTGCTAGGATTACAGGTGTGAGCCACTGCGCCTGGTCAGAGGATTTTTCTTAAATGTTTATTTAATTTTGTGTCTCCTTGGTGTAAATTTTTATCTCATATTATTTGCCTATTTGATCATTTAAATCTTTTTTTTTAAACTTGTGCAAATACTTTACATAATTGGAATATTAGCTATCATGTACAGCAATCTTTCTTTGAGGCATTTACTTTGCTGTTTAGTTTTGGTCCTGCTAGGGAGGAGTGTGTTTGACTTACTCTTGATCTTTGACTCTGTTTCCTGCAGCTGCTTTGCTTGGATGTATGGCAAATATGAAATATACTTTTCTTTTAACTTGTCTATAGTTTGACAGTTTTATGTTTTTAGTTTTTTTGATGTCTGCTATGTTGTGACAAATATTTTTTGTAGTGTAGTTCAATAAGTATATATATATGTGTGTGTGTGTATATATATATATATTTTAACACAATGTGGCAGGCATTTTGCCAGGTGTTTGAAGGCTGGGAGGCAAGTCATATGATGTTAGTAAAACAGTGGTGGAAGGTGCAGGGCTTGGAGACAGACTCACCTAAACATGAAGCCTCATGGTTCTAATAGTTCTAGACTGGGCAAAATTCTTCATTTCCTGAGCCTTACTTTCTCTTCTTATGAGAGTGATAATATTTACCTTACGAGTAAGTATTGTAAGTATAACTTACTCTATAGGGTTGCTACAAGGGTTAAATGAAATGTCTGTGGCACAGCCTGTTGCATATCGTGACAAATAAGCATCAGTTCCCTTTCTTACTCAATTGGTCACGAAGCCCCATCATTTCATTATCACCTCATAGTCCAATTCTCAGTCGCTTGAGTTGAGGCGGAATAGTTTTAGGTTTGAAAATGTTGTTAGAGATTCCCTCTCCAGATGTTTCTAAGACACAGGCTTTTGAGAACTTAATAATATGAAATTGTCTTGTTAGTGTGTTGACCTTGGTACAGTGAGAAAACAACCCTCAACGCTCAGCGGTTTTCTGCAACACTTAGGTTACAGGTGGGCAGCTGCAGGGGGCTGCAGGTCTACTGCTGGGGCTCTTTTCCACTTCCTATTCTAGGACCCAGACCACAGGAGCAGCTGCCTGGGCCTCAGATTAGATAGGTGCATGTCAGTGCGTACACATTCAGTGTCACAGTGGGTATGACAGTGGGGCAGAGAGATATACCCCACCTACCAAGTTGTGGGAGTGAGTCGGATGGGTAATCCTCTTACAGGGAATGGGGAGTGAATGATAGGGATTTACATGTATTAAAACATTTAATCCTCACACAAGCTCCAGGAGGTAGGTGCTTTTATCTCCATTTTCAGATGAGGAAACTAAGAGGTTTCCAGAGAGGTGAAGTAATATGCCCCGCAGTCATGAGGCTGGCACTTACATGGTGAGGCAAGGACCGGAACTCAGGCTGCCTGTCTCCATCACCCGTGCTCTTCATGCTTGTGACCATTGCCTTCTCATTTTAGTACCTGGGGGTCTAGTATGAGGAGAGTTTGGCTTTTTTTGGAAGAAATTCTCTTATCTTTTGCTTGAGGGGGACAGGTTTCTGGTCTGAGAGCAGAGAGCTTCAGGGTTCCTACTCTTGAATGTGCAGACTTTTCCCTTCTTCCCTCTTGTTTTCAGCACCATGCCCCACCCCGGTTTGTGCTGTATCTTTGTATCTTAAGTTCTATCACTGTGTGTTGACGACCTCCCTCCCTGATGTGGGAGAAGGTGCAGGTGGCCACCTATTTAGGTGAGGGGAGCAGCTGGCGGTGGAGGCGGGTGCAGCCACTCCACATGTGTGTTTTCCAGCCCTTGTGTTTTCACTTCTGTGCTTCACCCTCGCTTTCTGTGGTGTTTGGTACCTGGAATCCTATGCGTCATACTACCCTGCCTTTTTTCAGTTATCTCAAACTTCATCTGAGCTACCTCTTGCTAGCTTCCAAAATTTGTTGAAATCTCAAACTCAAGATTTCTCTTCCATTTATTTTGCCTTTCTGTCTTTATACCTTCTTAAATCCCTTTGTTGTCAGCGTAGTGGGCTTTTGTGAAAGGGAGCTTAGATAAATGAATGTGGTTAATCCCTGTGTTTTAACCAAGCTCCTGGGTTCTATAGCTGCAATTTTAATAGCTTCATAGTATTTCATTGCATTGATGTACCATCCTTCATAACACCCATTCTGTATGTTGGATGTGTATGTTATACAACAGTCTTTGTAACTCAGTGGATGTCCTCAATTTCTTTAGGATAAAATTCAGGAGTAAATCCTAGATTTTAAGACTTTTAGTATTTGTTATCAAATTGCTCACCAAAAAGCAATTTACTTTCTGAGTAGATGTAAACCTTAATTGTTAACATTGTAATTTTAAAGTTCTCTTTGTTTACAGTTCTTTTCTCAGAGAGCTTCAGAATTATTTTTTTCAACTTACATAAAGTCTCATTGTTATTTTGACATAGTTGCATTGTTTATAAAATAACTTGGGATGATGTAATAACTTAGAATATTTAGTTTCCTAGTCACAAAGTTGGTGTCTATTTAAATCTTCTTTAACACTTCCTTGTTTTCTTAATATTTACTATTAAATTATTGCTGAGTGTTATGGGATTATTGCTCTTGTGAATGACATTTTTTAATACTTTAGTTTTCTAATTTGTTTTTGCTGATAAACAAGGTACCTGGTGATTTTGCTTATTTACCTTACATTTTGTCACTTTGTAAACTCTTTTAATTATTGATTTTTAATGGATTCTTCTGAATTTCCTAGGCATACATTCAAACTTATTTTACTGATTAACCCACAAATAATTATTGAGCACACCTATTCTACGCTAGGCAGATTCTAGACACCTGGGATACAGTAGTAACTATGGCAAAGTCTTTGCCTTCATAGAATGAACAATATAGTGAGGACATACAGGTAATATGAATCAGATAAAGTAATGCCCAATTGTGATAAATATTATGAAGAAAATTAAGCAGGATAAGGGCCTAGCTAGTGACAGAGGGTGATTTTTCAGGTCAGAGCCCCCTCTGAGGAGGTGGCTTTTGATCAGAGTCCTGAATGAAGTGAAGTCATAGAACAAGCCATGTGAATATCTACCAGTGTCCCAGGCAGAGGAACAGCAGGTATAAGTGTGAGTGATGCCTGAGGAGCAGCAGGGAGGGTAACACGGGCCAAATTGAGTGAGCCAGGGAGATGGTGGACAGAGGTGAACTTGGCAAGGAAGCTAGGGCCCATATTCCCAGAAGAAGCATTGAGGCCTCAGTGTGAAGAGTTCACTGTAGATCGATGTAGGGGTCTGGATTTGGGGAGAGGGGTCTGGGCTAGAGACACATTTGTTCACACATGTGCTCTTTAAAGCTGTGAAACTGGACAAGTGTACCCACGGGGGAAGCACAGCCACAATAGAGAAGAGATCCCAGGACGGGATCTTGGGACAATTGCAAGCCAGAAGGGCATCTGGCATAGGGGATTCCGGACCAGCCAGTGAGAAGGAAGAGAACCAGGAAGACAGGCAAAAACATGTCCTTAAGGAAGGGAGAGAGCAACTGCCCTGTGATGCTGGAGGTCTAGCAGGTTGAGGCTTAACCTTCTTGAGGATTGACCCTTGGACTTGGCAATGTTGAATGGCTGGTGGGAGCAATTGTAGGGGAGCTGTGGAGAGAATGCCTTACTGGAGCGGGTTTAATATTGAATGAATGGTGAGGTGTTGGAAACAAGTGTAGACAACTCTCAAGTTGTGTTACAAGAGCAACAGGAAAATGGGGTGGCTGGGGGTGCTGGGAGAAGATATATCTGTAAGTGGGAAGACATTTCTCTAATATGTGTCCCTTTTGTTTGAGACTCTGTCCAAAAAAAAAAGTAAGTTCTGATTATAGCAATCAAATATAAAACAAACAGAAGCCCAGGCTGGAATGCTGTGGCTCAGTGTCACATCACTGCAACCCCCATCTCCCAGGCTCAAGCCACCCTCCTGCCTCAGCCTCCTGAGTAGCCGGGACTACAGATGTGTACCTATTTGATATATTTTTTTAGAGACAGGGTCTCTGTATGTTGTCCAGGTTGGTCTCGAACTCCTGGGCTCAAGCAGTCCACCCATCTCAGCCTCCCGGAGTGCTAGGATTACAGGCATGAGCCACTATGCATGGCCAGAACGTAAATATTTTTGTGAATGCTGGACTTCCTTCTTTTGTTGATTTTACTAGGGGAATACTATTAGACTGTTACCAACAAACATTGATTACTGGTAATTGGTTTGAAATAGATTTTATCGGCTGGGGTCCGTGGATCACGCCTGTAACCCCAGCGCATTGGGAGGCCAAGGCGGGTGGATCACGAGGTCAAGAGATCGAGACCATCCTGGCCAACATGGTGAAACCCTGTCTCTACTAAAAATACACAGATTAGCTGGGCGTGGTGGTGCATGCCTGTAGTCTCAACTACTTGGGAGGCTGAGCCAGGAGAATCGCTTGAACCCGGGAGGCGGAAGTTGCAGTGAGCAGAGGTTGCACCACTGCACTCCAGCCTGGCGACAGAGAAAAGAAAAAGAACTAGATTTTTTTTTTTTCTTTTTTGAGACAGAGTCTTGCTCTGTCACCCAGGTTTGAGTGCAGGGGGGCGATCTCGGCTCACTGCAAGCTCCACTTCCTGGGTTCATGCCATTCTTCTGCCTCAGCCTCCGCAGCAGCTGGGACTACAGGCACCCACCACCACGCCCAGCCAACTTTTTTGTATTTTTAGTAGAGACGGGGTTTCACCGTGTTAGCCAGGGTGGTTTTGATCTCCTGACCTCGTGATCCGCCTGCCTTGGCCTCCCAAAGTGCTGGGATTACAGGCATGAGCCACCGGATGTGGCCCCAATAAATATATTTTATCATATTGAGAAAGCTCTCTTTTTTTTTTGAGACGGAGTCTTGCTCTGTCGCCCAGGCTGGAGTGCAGTGGCGCCATCTTGGCTCACTGCAAGCTCCGCCTCCCGGGTTCACAACATTCTCCTGCCTCAGCCTCCCGAGTAGCTGGGACTACAGACGCCCATCACCACTCCTGGCTAATTTTTTTGTATTTTTAGTAGAGACTAGGTTTCACTGTGTTAACCAGGATGGTCTCGATCTCCTGACCTCGTGATCCTCCCGCCTCGGCCTCCCAAAGTACTGGGATTACAGGCGTGAGCCACCGTGCCCGGCCTTCTTTTCTTTCTTTCTTTCTTTCTTTCTCTCTCTCTCTCTCTCTCTCTCTCTTTCTCTCTTTCTCTCTTTCTCTCTTTCTCTTTCTCTCTTTCTCTCTTTCTCTCTTTCTCTTTCTCTCTTTCTCTTTCTCTCTCTCTTTCTCTCTTTCTTTCTTTCTTTCTTTCTTTCTTTCTTTCTTTCTTTCTTTCTTTCTTTCTTTCTTTCTTTCTTTCTTTCTTTCTTTCTTTCTTTCTTTCTTTTCTTTCTTTCGAGGTTCTCACTCTGTCATCTGTCATCCAGGCTGGAGTGTAGTGGCACAATCACGGCTCACTGTAGCCTCGAACTCCCAGGCTCAGGTGATCCTCCCACCTCAGCCTCCCAAGTAGCTGGGACCACAGGCGCATGCCACCACACCCACTTGGGTAATTTTTGTATTTTTTGTGGAGATGGAGTTTCACCATGTTGCCCAGGCTAGTCTTGAACTCCTAGGCTCAAGAGATCCGCCCACCTCGGCCTCCCAAAGTGCTGGGATTACAGGTATGAACCACTGCACTTGGCCTTTTCTATTTTTAAAGGAATTTTAATATGAAGTGGGTGTTGTATTTTTACATGTGTGTTTTTGGACACCAGTGAGATGATCTTATGGGTTTTTAAAATATTTATCTTAAAGCTATATAATGAATAAATAATTTCCTAATATGGAACTATCATTGTATACTTGGGATATACCTTACTTGGTTATGAGGAGGTATTCTTTTTTTATTTTTCTGCAATAATTTATAATTTTTATATTATTTATGCTAACTGAGCATGAAAGGTTAGATGGACCATTTCAGGCTTCTCTACCTGACCTATATCGTCTGAACGAACTGACCCCTTTTAACATAAACACTGAAAAGGGGAGCAGTCCTAGTTTTTAGTGGCACTGGTTTAAAGGAGTGCCTTAGCTGCTTGGCTCCATCTCATCCTCTCATCTCTGGGTGAGAAGCTGTCAGTGGCCTCTTCAGGACCACTGATTATCAGTAGGTCCCAAGTCGTCTCTATGGGGAATCAGAGGCATATGATTCTCAGGCATCATCTGAACAAGGTGTCTATCATAAACTGAGTATAACAATCCTGCCCCCTAACCCTGGCTTAGTCCTTTTCTGATGTTTCTTCTTTCCACCTCCCTTCTTGTGTCCACAGAGCATGACTTGCTCTTAATAACCTCTTCTAAGGTTGTGACATTATAAGCAGAGGCAGCTGTGTCTGCTGCTTCTCCCCGCTCCTCTTCTTTTTTGCCTTTCTGCCTCTCTCACTCTTACCCTCTTTAACAACTCCTGAGATGCATTCAAAGAAATAGGGAGTTTAATCTATTTTGACTCAGGTGCTTGAACTTACTTAGAAGGCCTTAGAAATGAGACATCTCAGGAAGTAATGAAGGTTAATTGGAGTTACAGGGGTGGGCCCTGATCCGATAGAATTATTGTTGTCATGAGAAGAAAGCTGGCTCTGACCGCCCTCCCTCCCCCTCCCACCCCCTCCCACCAAAGTGTACCGAAAAAGAGGTCGTGTGAGGACACGGTGGGATGGTGGCCACCTACAAGCCACGAAAAGAGACCTCAGAATGGTCTACATTGCTGGTACCTGTATCTTGGATTTCCCAAAAAAAGTTGGCTGGGTGTGGTGGCACATCCCTATAGTCCCAGCTGCTCGGGAGACTGAAGCAGGAGGATCACTGGAGCATTGCTGGAGCCCAGGAATGTGAGGCTGCAGTGAGCTATGACTGTACCACTGCAACTCCAGCCCGGGTGACAAGGCAAGACTCTGTCTCCAAAAAAAAATAAATAAATAAAAAGTCAATATTTTCCAAGGTTGGTTGTTTTGTTTGTTTTCTTTGTTTTTTGCATAGCACCACTTACTATTTATTAATAAAGCTTTTTTGATGTTGAATATGAGATATTTGAAAAGGCATATTCTGCATTTTTGTTCTCCTGGTATTTACCTGGGATCATAAAATTTAGAGAAGATTGCTCTTTTTACTTACTCCAAACTGATCTTTTCAAGATCTTTGCCAAGGAAAACCTACTTTAAAAAAAAAAATTCCTTCAGCTAATGTTCCTCATGCTCACACCTGGAGATGCATAGGGTATCCCTCATTACTTCATACTGAATGTGAAAGAGGCCTAGCTTTCATCAGTTGGTCCTCTGCCTCAGTGAGCAATGAGATCATCCATAAAGACTGTGAAATAGGAAGTGGCTGTTGATTTCCCTTCTTAGGTTATATATTAATCCAATACTCTGAATGCCCGTGGAATCATAAGTGTTCAGTGGATGAATCAATGAGCAACTTAAGGGATTTACAATTTAAAGAAGCAATTTTATATGAAGTTCTTCAGGCAAAAGATTTAATCAATGGTATCAGCCATTTAAAATGCAGTTGTATAAAACAGCTCTTTTTCCTCAAGAAACTTAACATTCTTCTATGGTAAAGGCAAAGAAGTTTATGGCACAGTTTTCACTAAGAGAGAATAGCAATATTTGTCACAAAAATTCTTTAAGATTCAAACTTTAAAAAAAAAAAACCTTAGTACAAAATATTGATATATTTTCTATTCAAGTGACTTTGTGGTTAAGCCTCTTTTGCACAGTATTATGAACCACATATGTAGCTCTACTGTATTTTGTAATGGTGAGATTTCCTCATTTTAAATTTTGTTGTGAGTAAAGAATATGTTAAATATCTATAATACGTTAAATATATATGTTTATGTATTTATAGGTTAAATATAACATGTTAATATATAGGCTTTTTTTGTATTTTATCTTGACACACGATGAAGATGACTCAGTCTATTACACTTAATTTTGAGACACTGCATTCTTCTAAAAGTAAACAACTGAAAATTATTTTTATTCTCTAGGTTGTCCTTTGCGGAGGGTCTTCTCGAATCCCAAAGCTACAGCAACTGATTAAAGATCTTTTCCCAGCTGTTGAGCTTCTCAATTCTATCCCTCCTGATGAAGTGATCCCTATTGGTGCAGCTATAGAAGCAGGAATTCTTATTGGGAAAGAAAACCTGTTGGTGGAAGACTCTCTTATGATAGAGTGTTCAGCCAGAGATATTTTAGTTAAGGTATGTTTAGCTTTTCTATACTAGTTGAAGTATGTTTAGCTTTTCTATACTTTCCTTAAAAATAGTAAATTAATTGCCGTAAGTTTTTATACATAGCATGATGTTACAATAAAACCCTGTATACTGGCAGAGGTTTTAAATTTAGGTTTATAATCCTACTTTTAAGGAATGTCTTATATTCTTTTAGTTAATATTTCTCTAACCTGTTAGTTTTTTAGAAAAATAAAAGTTAGGTATAATATTAATCATAAGTTAATATAGATAGAGGTATGTTTCAATATATTTTTAGATACAGTGGAGTGGGATTTAGGATTATTTCTATTTTCTTCTCTTTGCCTAGTGTCCTGATTATCAATAACGAATATATATCTCATTTATAATGGGAAGATTTTTTTTCAATTGTAAAGATAAATACCAAAGAGTATGCACCTTGTTTCCTGCTAACTAGGGTGTGGACGAATCAGGAGCCAGTAGATTCACAGTGCTGTTTCCATCAGGGACTCCTTTGCCAGCTCGAAGACAACACACATTGCAAGCTCCTGGAAGCATATCTTCAGTGTGCCTTGAACTCTATGAGTCTGACGGGAAGAACTCTGCCAAAGAGGAAACCAAGTTTGCACAGGTAAATACATAAAGTTAGACACATTAAACTGTTCAACTTTGCTTTCTGGATTAGATTTCAGTTCAGTATCTTAATACAAAATGTATATATATAAAGGACACCAAATACATTTTTATGAAGGATTTTATAAAGGCTCATTTCTGAAAATGAACTAGTGTATACTCATTTTTGAAAGAGGGAAGAAATAGGCAATTTTAATTTGAAAGAGTTCTGGGTATTTAGACTGCTTCTTTGTTGTGCTCTTGGCCTCCCTTGGTAGTTAGGTAAGTGGAAGGGGAGAATTTTATTTTTTGGTTCATACTAAATGCACATTATTGTATGCATTTTATAGATGATTAAGAAGTTGGCCTGTGATAGCAAATAACCTTTATTTTCTTGGTCAAGCTAGGGTTTCTCCTCAAGTTGGTTTCATTTCTGAGCCCATGACATGCTCTTCCGATTGTGCCATGCTGCCTCTGAGACAAGATAGGTTTGCTTTTTTAAAATACCGTGTGCCTATCTCATACTATATGACCCTCTGTATGCTTTACGAAGAGTGAGGTAGAGCCATGTTATTTACTTAGAAACATGTCTGAGAAATGCAGTTGCATTAAAACACACACACACACACACACACACACACATAGACTGCAGCACAGTATTTGTATTACAATGCCATTTGTATCTAAATAAAAAGTCTGGGAGCATGAGTGTGTGTGAGGAGGTGGTGTTTGAGTAGGGGTGCATTTTCAGATATCCATGCATTTATACAGAAAATATATATAGGTACTTAAACCATATTCCAGAAACTTCACAGTAGGTAAATAAGTTTGTAGGTACCAAGAGGGTTTTTTTGACTTCTGACACTTTATACTGAATTTTTTACAAACAGCACAGGACATGAGCATGAATTACTTTTATAGTACAAATTAAATATAGGTAACAAAAAAGAATGTACTTTTTTTTTTTTTGAGACAGAATCTCGCTATGTTGCCCAGGCTGGAGTGCAGTGGCAACATCTCGGCTCATTCTTATTGCAAGCTCCACCTCCCAGGTTCACACCATTCTCCTGCCTCAGCCTCCCGAGTCGCCGGGACTACAGGCACCCACCACCACGCCTGGCTAATTTTTTGTATTCTTAGTAGAGATGGGGTTTTACCGTGTTAGCCAGGATGGTCTCAATCTCCTGACCTCGTGATTCGCCCGCCTCGGCCTCCCAAAGCAGTATTGTTTTTTAAAAAATATATGCACATTCAGAGAAGTCCAGAATGCCTAGCTTTTTTGAGAAGACAGGGTGTTTATTAGTGATGAGGTATCGTGTGTGTGTGTGTGTAAAGAGATACATATCTTTAGTTCACATATTTAATTTTTTTTTTTTGAGACGGCAGCTTGCTCTGTCACCCAGGCCAAAGTGCAGTGACATGATTTCAGCTCACTGCAACCTCCACCCCATGGGTTCAACTGATTCTCCTGCCTCAGTCAGCCTTCTGAGTAGCTGGGACTACAGGCATGCACCACCACGCCTGGCTAATATTTGTGTTTTTAGTAGAGACAGTTTCACTATGTTGACCAGGCTGGTTTCGAACTCCCGACCTAAGGTGATCTGCCTGCCTTAGCCTCCCAAACTGCTGGGATTACAGGCATGAGCCACTATGCCTGGCCACATATTTATTTTCTAATTCCAACAAAAGAGTAATGAAAACACACACATGCATAACATGCCTGGGCTGCACCTCAGACTTACCAACTTGGAATCTATTGGTAAAGTTTGAAAAGCACTTCCACATGAATTGGTTTGTGTGTGTCTAAGAACCTTCCCATGCACCAGGTTTTTGAACTCAGATGGCAGTCCTAGTATTTCCTTCGCTCTTCTCTCACACTTCCATTACCTTTTTCTTCACATCCTCTCTGAGACTCCACAGCTGCTGCTACTATATCCTAACTTAAAGATGCCAGGAGGAGAGTTAGCCACGTAACACTGAATTTGGAAGAGAATCTTTCAGAGTTCCCATCTGTTCTAACGTTATTTTACAAATGAGTAAAACAAGGTACTTAGTATAACTTAGGTTATTAAACTTGAGCTTGGCTAAGCCTAAAGTCACTGCAGAATTCCGTATCTGGTTTCTTGATATACTATTCTTTAGGAAACTGAGGAATTTTATAGTAAATTCATTACCATCTCTTACTTACAGATATAATCTTAGTTGTACAAAAGAGTTTGCCATGTTTTTAAGTAGGTGGTTTTCCAAGTGTATTTAAAATGCTTGATTTTTTTTTTAAAGTATATATAGAAAGGTTGCCAAATTATAATTTGCATGTTACTGGGAATGGCTTACTTACCAAAAAAGAAAAGTAGCCTTTATTTTCTGAGACTAATAGTACATCTTAGAAAAAATCATTTTAATCTAGGACATGACATTTAGAAGGGACAAATGCATTAGTTATCTTATGGGCCATCCTTCTGGGGGAGACATTTCAGCTTAACAAAGCTTCACTCCTATTCTCTGAATTCTGATTCAATGGTAGGAGAAATGAAAACTGCCCTATTTTAAAAAGGTTTGTTTCAGTGGTAAATAAGCTTTGGTCCATTGCAATAATTGATACATCAGTTCATTTATGTCAAAATGCTGAATTCTCTTCATATTGTTTTTGCATAAACAGGTTGTACTCCAGGATTTAGATAAAAAAGAAAATGGATTACGTGATATATTAGCTGTTCTTACTATGAAAAGGTAAAAAAATTAAACTTCTGTTGTTAAGAAAATTCAATTTGATACTTGACTATTTTTTGATTTTATTGATTTTTTCACTGTCATTCTAGAAAAAACATTAAAAACCTACAGAGGTTTTTATCAGTGAATTACATGTTTTGCCCCCAAAATTACTATATTTTACAAAGAAAAGTCATTTCCATCTTGAATATTTTAGGAATTCTTTATTTTGGCTATCATCAACCTAAGAAACTGATGTGTGCTCAGTTGAGATGTAATTTACCAATTTCTAGTATAATTTTCTAAAGTTTATATAACTGTTACTATTTGCCCTGTGAAAGGATAAGTTTGTTTCTTTATTGCTAAATTTTCTAAGAAATTTAGAAAATTTAAATGCAAAATTTTTCTAAGAAAAATAATTTACGAATTAAATTCAGCTATTGCCATTTTCCTAACCACAAGCTATCCATACTACTATGTATTACAAGTAAATCCTTTCCAAATTAAACTTAAAAGACAACTTACTCCATAAACGATACATAGCAAGAATATAGAATTCATCAGGGTGAGTTTGCCTTGACCTAGTCTTGAAAATAGCATGCTGCATCTGGAGCTTATATAAAGTCTTAAACCTAAGGTGTTTGTCATCATGGGTTTTCAAGAAATATAACCATGATCTTAGTGGTCTGGAAGGAAGTTCCTAAGAATAACTAGCTAAATATAACATATGATACTTACTAAATTTACAGACACTGAGATTGTGTGTATTCTTTACATTAATACCCTTCTTTTGAAAATTAAAATTAACCCTTGTTTACTGAAAGCCCTCAAGTAACTTGTTACAGACTTTGTTTTTATAACATGAGCTTATGAAATGTTCTTTATTTTTTTGTCTGTTTAGGGATGGATCTTTACATGTGACATGCACAGATCAAGAAACTGGAAAATGTGAAGCAATCTCTATTGAGGTAGCATCTTAGTGTTCTAGAGAAATCAAGAATTTTTATAAACAAGAATATCAACATTTGGTTTTGCATATAAGTGGCGTTTGTATTAAAATACTTTTTCAATGAACTGTATAAACTATGTTTTATTAAACTACAATATATCAGTAAGTGTTGCAACCCTTCTTTGTTTTTGATGTACAGTAACCTCTTATTACTGGGAAATATACGGAAGTTTTTTTTTTATCATGAAGCTGCTTAGAATTAAACTGAGTTGGTTGAAAGAATTTTCTATGACATTTAATTTTAAAAGATCTTCTATTGGTTCTTGTTAGATAACCAAGAAAACAATTAAAAGTCATTGACATTAATTGAAAAAACTTGCAGGACCATATACAAAGTAAGATGCCTTTTTTTGTTTGTTTTTGTTTTTAGAGACAGGATTTTGCGCTGTCACCCAGGCTCAAGTGCAGTTGTGGGATCATATCTCACAGCAGCCTCGAACTGCTGGGCTCAAGCAGTCTTCTTGCCTTAGCCTCCCATGTGGCCGGGACTACAGATGTGCACCATCACACCTGGCACATTTTTTTTTGTTCTGTTTTGTTTTTTTGGAGAGATGGGTCTTGCTATGTTGCCCAGGATGGTCTCAAACTGCTGGTCTCAAGTGATCCTCCCGCCTTAGCCCCCCAAAGTGCTGGGATTACAGGCATAAGCCACAGCCATTTTTTAAGTAAACTGATAAACTCAACAACTAGGAGAGGGGCTTTTACTTTTTACAGTTTTGTTTAGTTTATTTCTTTCCTCCAACAAACATGTTTTTCTTTTGAAATTAAAAGATCTCTTTAGGGCAGGGCACGGTGGCTCACACCTGTAATTCCAACACTTTGGGAGGCAGAGACAGGTGGATCACTTGAGGCCAGGAGTTCCAGACCAGCCTGGCCAATGTGGTGAAACCCCATCTCTACTAAAAATACAAAAAATTATTTGGGTGTGGTGGTGTGCACCTGTAGTCCCAGCAACTCCGGAGGCTGAATCCCTTGAACCCAGGAGTCAGAGGTTGCAGTGAGCCAAAATCATGCCACTGCACTCCAGCCTGGGCGACAGAGTGAGACTCCATCTCAAAAAGAGAGAAAAAAGAGAAAAAGAGAGAGAAAAAAAACCTCTTTAGTTTGAAGAGAAGGCTAGCCACATTCTGTCTACCAGAGAATATTCACTAGAGCCCTGAGATCCTCAGTGGGTTCCAATGAAAACTTATTCATGTTGGCTGCTATGGAGTTAGTTGGTAGTACTCTTCTAAAAGTTTTTAAAGATCCAGAAACAAAACTTAAATTTTTTCATCATTATTTTACATCAAATTATTGACAGAACTATGAAGAGAATTCAGATATGATTTTAAGTCCACAGAGTCTTTAAATACAGAAGCAGCTTTAAAGGTGTACTCTTTGTCCTAAGTTAGTAGTTATTTCTTAGGATCTTTTTCCAAAGTTATAGAAAATTTGAAATAAAAGTGATTTTGGTATAAGCAATTCAGTGGCTTCAGAACACAGGAAAACACCAACTGAGCTAGTTTTACTGCTAAGTCTACATGCTTTCAATTATGCTTTGAAAAACTGTTTTAGGATCTTATTTTGTGGTTATTGTTAGCTTTTAAAATAGATCTGGGATGCCAAACTATGTCCAGTGATTCAGATCTATCTCACCCCTGTTTTCGTAGATAAAATTTTATTAGAACACAGTCACACTCTAATTGTATATGTGCTGGCTGTGGCGGTTTTCACATTACAGTGGCAGAGATGAATAGTTGCACAAAGGCTGTATGGCCCACAAAGCTTAAAATATTTACTGTCTGGCCTTCTGTATAAAAAATGTGACACCTGAAGTAGATTATTGAAACTTATAGAATAAAATAACTTATTCTAAAGTTTTCTTCCATATTTATTTAATCCTTTACTTACTTGGCTCCTTTCCCCACTAGATTATTAAGCATTTGTGAGAGCAGAGACTCTGAGTCTTAATCACCATTTTGCCTCGGCCCCTACAATAGTACATGAGCATAGTGGGTGTTCATAAGTGCTTATCAAATAAATGAATTATATGGAAGAAAAAATAATGTCATCTTTGTATGCTACAGGACAATGGCCAGTGAGTACATCTTTTGTATATTTTATGGTTTGTTTAGAAACATAAGGAAGGAAAGGAATAGCACTGCTGACCTTATTGGTCAGCTTTGCATGTTTGTTTGGTTGTTTTCCCCTAGACTTACCCAATTTGAAATTGTCATCAATAAGTCCTCTACTGCCTAATGAAATTCTTCCACATTTTCTCGTACCCTCAGGTGACAAGCTTTTTCCTTGTGAATTTTTGAAAGATTTGCCAACAAATTTTTCTAGTTTTTTTTTTTTTAATTTTTCAAGGTGAAAATAGCTTTAATTTTTTTCTGTTTATAAGAATGATACATAGTCAATATAAAATTCAAATTCCAAAAGAAAAAAATATAAAACATTGTTTATTCTACCATCCAGAATAGTAACTGTAAAAATTTTTGGTGAGTACCTTGATAATCTTTTCATGTACTTCCCAGTTATCTTTGTTACATCATATGTATGTCATAGCAAAGATAATTAGGAAGTACATAAGATACATGAAATTTAAATATATTCATGAAATGCAAATATATTTCATGAAATTTAAATATGTATATATTTAAATAATGTGGGGAAGTCAAGTAAGTGAAGTATTACATAAATATGGAAGAAAATTTTTGAAGAAGTCATTTTATGTTAGAAGTTTCAATAATCTACTTCAGGGGTCAAATTTTTTATATAAAAGGCCAGATAGTAAATATATACATATTTAAACTTAAACACTTTTACCACCAAAAGGTTATGTCAAATTATAGTTTTGCCTATTTACATCTGACATTGTCTGAAGAACAGAGCCAAATATAAAAATAGGAAGAAATACCTGATGTGAAAGTCTCAGAACGTGTCTTAGTTTGGACTGCTATAATAAAGTACCATAGTCTGGGGGTGGCTTGTAAACATCAGAAATATATTACAGTTCTGGAGGCTGGAAGTCAGATCAGGTGCTGGACCAGGCTGGAAGCGTGGCTGGGTTTTGATGGGGGCTCCCTTTTGGGTTGCCAGCTATCTTTATAACCTCACACGAAGGATAGAGGGCGAGAGAGCTCTGAAGGGTCCCTTTTGTAAGGGTGCTAATCCCATGCATGCAGGCTCCACCTTCATGATCTAATCACCTCCCAAAGGCCCTGCCTCCCAATACCATCACCTTGGGGGTGAGGATTTCAACACTGGAATTTTTCAGAGATGCAAATGTTCAGTCCTTAACAGGAGGCCACAAAATATTCATCACAAACTGAAAGCTTTTATATGTATAAGAATTCTTAAAAATACCAGAGCATAAAAGTTCTATGAGAAAAATCACGATATCTAAAATGATGAGTGACCATATAATATAATACTGTTATTTGCTTGAATTCATTATCTCATTTTAAAATTTTGATCTCATCACAATTCCATGAATAGTTGTACTGTGTAGAGAGTAATATGGCATGTGTTATTTCTGTTTTCCAGATAATAGATTGAGAGCAGTTAAGTAAGTTATCCAAGGTCTCACAGTAAATAAATGGTGGATTTCGAACTAACATTCAGATGCTTATTTTGTAAACTTAATTTTTCTTGATTGCTTACTATTCTAAGCACATTACATGCATTATTTCATTTAAATTCACATTCTTAATCTAGTGTTCATTCTACGATTCTTTGCCTCTCAGAAGAGAACGTTTATTTCAGTAGAAGAGGAGACACTCCAGAAATCATGTGGTTTTTGTGAAAAAAATACTGGGAAAGGGTCATGACTCTCTACTTTTCCCTTGAGGACTCTGGTGTGTGTCTCTCAGTGGCTTTTTATTTCTCTCTCCATTTATAGCCAGGATTTACCAAGACCCTCAAATATTTCAGTCCCAGGACCCCTTTACAGTCTTAAAAATAACATTTGGAGAACCCAAAGAGTTTTTGCTTGTTACATATACATAAAATGTAATTATATAACTATATAAGTAGTTACCATATGGAAATTAAAACCAATTTTAAAAATTATTTCTAAGTAACATAAAAGTTAATATGAATAACATTTTTATGAGAAATAACTTTTCTAAGACAAAAATTTAGTGGCAAGGGTGATATCTGGGGTTTTATTTTTTGTTTTTTGTCTTGAGACAGGGTCTTGCTCCGTTGCCCAGCCTGGAATGTAGTGGTTTGATCATAGCTTACTACAGCCTCAAACTCCTGGGCTCAAGCGATCCTCCCATCTCAGCTTCCTGAGTAGCTGGGACCACAGGCACGTGCCAACACGCCCAGCTAATTTTTTATTAGGGTTGCCCTGGCTAGTCTCAAGCAGTTCTCCTGCCTCAGCCTCCCAAAGTGCTAACATTATACGTGCGAGCCACTCTGCCTAGCCAAAAGCAGTATTTTGTATTTTTTCAAGTCTCTTTAATGTCTGGCTTAATAGAAGATAGCTATGTTCTGGTATCTGCTTCTTCGTTCAACGTGTTGCAATATTCAAATTGTGTAACCTCTGGAAAATTCCACTGTGTACTCATGAGCCAAGGCAGGCAGGGAACATGTTGGTCTGAAAATAGTTCTGTGCTCATGAACCCTCTGAAGGGTCTTGGGGTCCCCATTACCATACCTGGAGAATTCCTGCTCTAGATAGTAAACACGGTGCTGAACGTTGGACAGAGAGGACCTCATCTATGCGCTGGAATGGATGAGGTTCAAGACGAGAAACAAAGGAAACACTGAATTTACAAAATGGTGCCATACATTCATTACGTAAGTTTTTACTGAAACTAATCAAGACCAAAGAACAAAAACTAGACAAGATAATTGCAAATTTTGATAAGTGCTTTTTAAGGATTCCAAGTAGGGCTAAAGAATTAGGTAACATGCGAGGCCTCTGTCAATAGGTGGCGTTTAAGCTGAGACCCAAGTGATCTGAAGGTAGCCATGTAAGGAGGGGAAGGAGCCTGTCCTCTGAACCGGAAAGTAATTTACAGCTGCCTTCAGTGATTTGCTTTATCCGCTGCTCCTCTCACTGGGAAGTCAGCTCCCTGAGGACTGGGTCTTTTGTCTTTCTCATCCGCTGCTATATTCCCAGCACCTATCAGGTGCCTGGCACATAGGAGATGCACAGTAAAAGATTTCTGGGTGAGTGGGGCCGAGGAAAGGCCTGGAGAATAATGAGTAAAGGGGAGTGGCACAAAGTGAGGTTAGAGACAGGATTCCAATCACTGGAGGTTTGAGTTTTATTCTGAATGTGCTGGGAAGTACTTAAAGCGGGGGGAAAGGCCTGTTCCTCTTTATATTTTAGGGTCATTTTTTCAGCTGCCTAGAAAATGGATTGAATGGGAGCAGTGGTGGAAGTGAAAACAGTTCAGCTGTTGTAGGACTTCAGTCGAGCAATGATGGCCTGGACTAAGGTCCAGAAGTGTATTTTTCTGGATATGTTCAATTGGAGATGTTTGTGCAACACCTAAGGGCATATGTCCATTAGGCACTGTGGATATTCTAGCCTGGAATTCAGGGCAGAGGCCAGGGTTGGAGACAAAAAGTTAGGAATCTTGTGTCAAGATGCAATTTAAATCCATGGGAATCGGGGCAGTCACATAGGGAGAGGGCGGATGAGAAATGCAGTCCCAGGGCTACAGTCCCTTCCCTGAGGAACCCAGGCTGGACTGAGGAAAAGGAGCCAAAAAGGGATTCAGGAATGACCAGTGAGTAGCGAAGGCCGCTCCTTGGAGGGCTCTGAAAACATACAGGAGAGGCAATGAGTGCTTGGGGTCGGTTAGGACGGGAGGCTGTATCTTAAAGGGCCTGAAGGCATAATCCTAGATAGACTACGCCTTAAAGGGCCTGGATGCTCTTCCAGGTGATAGGGTTGGGTAGGGCCTTTTATTCCTTATATCAAGGTAGTGAGATGCTCATCGTAGAAAATGATTAAATATGTAAAAACGAGAAGTTAAAATCACTTCGAAAGGCTGTATTTCGTTATTTTCCTATACATTTTTTTCCTAGTTAAAACTATATTTCAGGGGGATTTGTTTTGTTTTTGCTTAACACTAAAAGCTTCATGAACATCTTTTTAAGACGGCTAGACAGTATTTCATAATGGAATCAAATAACCAGTCCTTTAATGGTCTGCGTTTAAGTCCTTAGTAGACATCAAATGGCTTTCTGCCAGTTTTCGTTATTTGCTCTAAGATTTCTGCTTTAGGTTGTTTAAAACAGTCATATGGATGCGGCGTCAAGAATGGCTGGGGGGAGGGGGTGGAGACCAGGTGGGAGGCCCCCGGAGTCGCCCTGCAGCCTCCTTACCAACAAGTCCTCTTCCTCCCGGCCCCCACCCGTCAGCAGGCCGAGCTCAGGAGCTTGTCAACAACACGGGAGGGGGGCTCGGGTCTCCTTACAGACCTACCCAGTCCCAATTTACATTAAAAGTTGAGCCCAGGAGGTCGAGACTGCAGTGAGCCGTAATCGCGCCACTGCACTTGAGCTTGGTGACAGAGTGAGACCCCATCTCTCAAAAAATTCCAAGTCCGCACCTCCCCCCCACGACGATTCGTAAACCCCTTTTAAGTGTGAGAAGCACTGATGGAGACTGGCGGTTTCAGCTGTGCCGCACATTAGGATCAGCTGGGAGCTGGGCAGCACAGGCCACACCCCACACCAACCAGTCGGAATCCCGGCGACTGCACCAAGCCAGCGGAACCTCTCCAGCCGTGCCCATGTGCGGCCGCTTCCGAGGCCCGGTGCTCTAGGGAAGTGGGGTCGGGGGGAGCCTAACCATGGCCCGCCGAGCTGCGGTGGCTGCGGAACCGGACCCGAAAGGCACCGTCCCTGGCCGACGTCCTCCCGAGTGAATGCGCCAAACGGGCCTGGCGCAGGGTATGGGCGCCGGACACCGCACAGCACCCCAAAGCACGCGCGCGCGCTCGCTCCGCCCCGCTCGGCTCCTCGCTTTTGGGGCCGGGCCTACCCTTGGGGCGCAGGCGCGCTGACCGCCGCGGCGGGGGGTCGGCCGCCAGTGACGTCAGGACGCCGTGCGGGTTCCATCCCCCCTACAAGCCCCGGCCCCCAAGTCCCGCGCGGGCCGGCCAGGGGCGGGGCGTCGGGCCAGCTGAGCTATCCCGTCAGACCGCGCCAGTTTGAATGAAAGCTCCACAAGATGGCGGCGGTCGGGGCCGAGGCGCGAGGAGGTGAGGCTGGAGCGCGGCCCCCTCGCCCTCCCCGTTCCCAGGCAAGCTCCCAAGGCCCGGGCGGCGGGGCCGTCCCGCGGGCCAGCCAGACGGCGACGTGGCGGTTCCCCGGCCGCCGCGCCCCCGACTCCGGGACGCACGCTGCGGGCGCCTACCCTCCCCCAGGCCGCTGACCCGCCTCCCTGCCCGGCCGGCTCCCGCCGCGGAGGTGGGCACTGCGCGAGCCTGGGGCGCTTCGGCTGCGGAGCGTGGCCTCTCCGCCCGCTCGGCCCGGCCCCCTTGGCGTCTCCCGTGGTGGCTTCGGGGGTCGGGGCCGCTCCCCGGCGGTCCCCGGCTGGAGGTCCCGGGGGCCCGGCTGCGACTGGCTCCTTTGTGGTGGTTCGAGCGCGGCGTGCGGCATGCGCCCGGGCCTTTGAAGTGGGAGGCGGGAAGCGACGCCCGCCGGCGTGAACATGACCTTAATATCAGAGGGGGAGAGGAAATCGGGGCTCCTGTGTGCTAAGGGGATAACCGAGGAACCCCCCCCCACAAGGCGGACACGCTAGGAGGTTGAGTGCCTCGTTGGAGAGTCGCCCAGAAAGTGGGTATTTGAGGTTGCAGCCTCTGGCTTACGGTAACTCTTCCACCCACCGGGAGCTTGGTGTTATTTCTGTGGACGCTGGGGAATTGGGCACCGAGCGTGCGTGGGTGTGGGCGTCGGGGGGTGTTGGTGTCGCGCACGCTTTGAGAGCCTGGAACTTTTCCGTGCGTTCTGGAATGTAAAGGTGTTTTCAAGCTCGCCTCCTCTCCACTTGGATTATGACCTCATTATCCCCGAGTTTTTCTTCCTTGGAGAATGTCAGGGGTTACTGTGAACTAAGCTAGCGGAAGGTGTTTGTGGTGGTCATGAACTATTTAATTTTGTCAGTGAAATATTTTTCTACATTACTGGAGACTTGAGAGATTGTCGTTTTGCTTTTTTTTAACCACGTGTTTGCAGTTTTTCATGTTCACTTTTTTTTTTCCTTTAAATTCTCGAAGAGCATTTCCTTTGCGGGTTGTGTTTTGAATCCTCAACTAGATAAAAATGTTTAGGAAAAGCACACAAACACACCTTGGGTAGATACTCAAGAGGAACCACCTTTATACGTGATCCCCTTAGTGAGGTCAGCTTAACACAAAACGTCCTCTAGTTTTTTTAGATGGAAGGGACTTACGGGGTCATTTCTCTCCTATCACTGTCCTACCCCCAAACGACCACTCCAAAGCAATCGGCCTCTTCCCCCACGTTTTCTGGAGGAAAATACCTTTCTCTTTACTGCTTTAGGATGGAGTCGTTTGCAGCCAGTGAGATGGTGGAAATTATGCTTAAGGGTTTCTGACAATGAAGTAGTCTCTGTGTGAGGTGGGGAGGATGAGGAAAGGGTGCAGGAAAAGTTATTGCTGCTAACAAGTGTTCTCCCTTTCCTGAAATTACCTCAAAACATAAAAGGTGATCGCAACTACCTTGGAGAGCTACCAAGTAAAGCTTGAGTTTACTGATAGATTTTGTTTGGTAACACCAGTTTTCTCCATTTTTTTCCAGTGAATGTGACAGCCAGACAGATTGAGACCTCACTAAAGTCACATAGCTCGGTGGCTGAGCGATGGGTAGGGCAGAGGACTTTTGATCCTGTCTAGTGCTTACCATGACACTAGCGCTAACACCAAGTTTGTTCCATTTTCCTAAACGTGTTTGTTAATTTACACTTTAAATTCAGTGTGGTAACATGCTACTTACAGAAATTTGAGGGTCAAATCTTCTGGAACACAATTAGTTTCTGGCTTCTGGAGGGTTGATGATAAGTATGTCTAATTTTCTTTGAGTTTAGTACATGGCTTATGTAAATTGAACACCGTTTTAAAAGTTTGGCTTTAAAAACAATACAGTCAATAAGTATTACAAAATATCAATATACTCTCCATTTTTTTAATAACTCGAGTTTATTCACCTTGGTGATAATATATTGCAGTATGGGTAAAATAATAAGTGGAATTAAAGCTTCATGCAACATTTCAAAGAGAAAACTAACATATGAGTTTGTAACGTAGAAATATATTTTTATTAGATTTCAGTTTTGTCCAGTTAAAAAAAAATGAGTTATGTGTTAACGAATTATAATGTTGTTTTAAAGTATATTTTAGATGTGTTTTTAAGAATAAGTGTCCTAGAGATTTACATTTTATTAAAATAGTGATTATAGTCTATGTAGAATACAATGAAAGTAAGAAACACTACCTCTGTTGACCTGCATCTGCATATAATTTTTAAAAAGCTTACAGACATGAAACATTTTCGAGTGACTTAATGGAAATCAACTGATGTCAGTTAAACATAGTGGAGTAGAAATCCATGAGAAAATCCAAGAACACCAATTTAACGAAATAGTTCCTTAATGTTTAACTTTTTCTTGAAGACGCATAATTGGTTTCTTGTCATAGGAATTTTTAGTCTAAAATTGCCAGTTGAAAGTTGGGGAATAGAGGGTTTTTCTCTTTTTTATTTTAATTGAATAGCTATTTCATTAGTAAAGAATTCTATTTTCTTATTGTAGCTTGGTGTGTGCCTTGCCTAGTTTCACTTGATACTCTTCAGGAATTATGTAGAAAAGAAAAGCTCACATGTAAATCGATTGGAATCACCAAAAGGAATCTAAACAATTATGAGGTGGAATACTTGTGTGACTACAAGGTAGTAAAGGTAAGGCAAATGTCTAGCCCCTTACAAGAGACCTAATCAGACTTCAGTATTTCATATTTCTGTAACAAAAAAAGAACCTTAAAAGTAAGAAAAGCTCTTCTTAATGTTTAAAAAATTCTAAGCCATAATAAATTTATGTGTCCTGTCATCTGTGTTGCCAAATAGCATTGAGAGGATTTTGAAGCTTACAATGTTCTTGCATTAGAATATTTTAGTGCTCGTATTAGTGCTCATATCACTCTACATCCAACTCTTGATTATCTCCATGTGGGTTACCAGAGCAAATGTTTGATCTCCAATTGTCTTTCGTTTTGTTCCTGGATCATATTTCCCCACTATCACCTGAAATGAACCTACCGTTTCAAACCAATTTTAGTGTTATTGAATCTCAAGAACATCACCATTTGCATTTCCTGCCATCCTGTCAAACTCCAGATTTAGTCAGGTTCTAGGTTATAACAGAATGGCCTGGATTACGAAGTCATTTCCAGCTTTTGTTTAGTGCCTTAGAACTTAAGCAAACTCGTTTCACTTCTCTAAGCCTGCCTTTATTGCTCTTAAAAAATGGCAGAGTTGTTCTCTAAAGATATTTTGATCTAAACTTTATATTTTTGAGTAATTCATCTGTCTATAGCCTACCTCTCTTTCCAAGAACTGTTTTGGTCATTAATCTACCAATTCTATTGATAAGTGAATCGGGAATCCTGTTTAAGTCTTTGTTTTCCTCCTTCATCTTCTATATTGAATCAGTCACTAAATCCCATTCTTTCAAGTTCCTTTAGTATCACTGCCTTCCCCGCTCAGTGGGATCTTATGCTCGTGCATTTCACCGGCACTCTTAGCATCCTTCAGCCCCTGAAACAGCCCCAGTCATCTGCCATCTCAGTTTACAACCTATGGACTGACCAATCCAGCTGAGCATATTATACAATCATGCATATCAGCCCCATTATAACTTATTTCTGTTCTCACACTGCTCAGTTCTACCTGACGAGCTTTTAATCTTGCTTGCGTTTCCCATTCTTGTCAGCAGGTTTTCCAACTTGTGTTACTTTTCTGGGTTTCTTACTCTACCCATTTCTTGTTTTCTGCTGAAGACCTCCTACCTCAATGAAAAATAGGATCCTTCATGTGTAAACTCTCAACTTACCTTCACCGCCAGCTGTTCACTTATTCTTACTTCCAGAGGTGCCACCATTTTTCTTTTTTCTTCCTCTCTACCCCTTCTAGGACTTTTTTTTTTTTTTAAAGACCCGGAGTCTCGCTCTTGTCGCCCAAGCTGGAGTGCAGTGGTGTGATCTCGGCTCACTGCAACCTCCACCTCCTGGGTTCCAGCGATTCTCCTGTCTCAGCCTCCTGAGTAGCTGGGACCACAGGTACTTGCCACCATGCCCGGCTAATTTTTGTACTTTTTAGTAGAGTTGGGGTTTCACCATGTTGACCAGGCTGGTCTCAAACTCGTGACCTCATGATTTGCCCACCTTGGCCTTCCAAAGTGCTGGTATTACAGGTGTGAGCCACTGCACCCTGCTGGATTTTTTTTTTCTTCTCTGGTGTCTTGTTTATATCAAGCTCTCTTTTTTTACAGATATATCTCAGTTAGTAAACATATTCAGATCTTCCCTAACCTTCAAAGAATCTTCTTTGGCCTTGCCTCTCCACTCATGCAAGTGTTTGTCTTTTTCTACTACTGCATGTCCCATTGACTTTTTTAACAGCTTTGTTGAGATATAATTCACATGCTGTTATACAACTCACCTATTTAAAGTGTACAATTCAAATTTTTTAAACCGGGCACAGTGACTCATGCCTGTAATCCTAGCACTTTGGGAGGCCAAGGCAGGCAGATCACTCGAGGTCAGGAGTTCGAAACCAGCCTGGCCAACATAGTAAAACCCTGTCTCTACTAAAAATACAAAAATTAGCCAGGTATGGTGGCGGGCCCCTGTAATCCCAGCTACTCAGGAGGCTGAGGCAGGAGAATTGCTTGAACTCCAGAGGTGGATGTTGCAGTGAGTTGAGATCATGCCACTGCACTCCAGGGTGGGCGACAGAGCAAGACTCAGTCTCAAAAAAAAAAAAAAAAAAAAAACCCCCACAAATTTTCTAGTGTACTTTAGGAGTCAGTTTTAGAACACTTTTCGTTATCCCAAAAAGAAACACTAAACCCCTTAGCTACCACCCCTTACCCCAGATTTCCTCAATTACTCTTCTACCTCCAGCCCTAGGCAACCACTACATCTGTCTGTCCATTTGCGTATTTGGACATTTCATATAAAAGGAGTCATACCATATGTGGTCCTTTGTGATTGGCCCCTTTCAGCATGTTTTCAAGGTTCATCCATGTTGTAAAATATATCAGTATTTCATTCCGTCTTATTGCCAAGTAATATTTCATTGTATGGATATAGCACATGTAATTTATTCATCACTTCGTGGACATCTGAGTTGTTTCCATTTTGGGACTTATAAATAATGCTGTTATGAACATTCGTCTACAGGGTTCTGTGTGGACATAAGTTTTCATGGTTCTTGGGTATATACCAAGGAGTAGAATTGCTGGGTCATATGGTGACTCTGTGTTTAACTGTTTGAGGAACTGCCAGACTTTTCCAAAGCACTGCATTTTACGTTTCCACCAGCAGTGTATGAGAGTTTCAGTTCTTCACATCCTGGCGAATACATGATGTTATCTGACTTTTTGATGATAGTTGTCCTAGTGGGTTTGAAGTGGTATCTCATTGTGGTTTTGATTTGTATTTCTCTGACTAATGATACTGAGCATCTTCTCCTGTGCTTATTGGCCATTTGTATACCTTTGGAGAAATGTCTGTTCAGATCCTTTGTGCATTTTAAAAAGTGGATTGTCTGTTTAAAACATTCTTGTAATCATTCTTCACATAGTCTGGATACAAATCTCTTACTAGTATGTGATTTGCAAAAATTTTCTCCCATTCTGTGAGGTGTCTGTCCACTTCCCATTAGCTTTTTAACCCACCTTATTCTGATTTTTGCCCCTCAGTAACCTTTTAGATGTCAGATTTGAAGACCTTGCATCTTATTCAACTTTTCCCCTTTTAACACCATTGGCTACCTTTTCCTCTTTGAAACTCTCATCTTTGGAGAGATTGTCTAGGTTTAAAATTTGCCTCTTTTACAAGTTGTGTGATCTTCAGCAAGTTACTTAGCCTTTCTTTCATTTTCTTCATCTTTGAAACAAGGATCATTATTGTACCGTTCTCACAGGGTATTACTAGCATTAAATGAGTTAATATAGATAGAATGCGTGGAACAAAGGCCGGCATAGTAATTATACTATATGAGCGTTTACTGTGATTATTGTTACCTCTATTCCTACTTCTTTTCCACCTGTTTTTCTTACTGTTCTTTATGAACCTTCTTTACTATCTCTTATCCCTCCCTCTGAAACGTTGATAGTCTTAAAGGCTCTGTTCTTGGCCCTCTGCTCACCTTGTAGTTGCTCTGTAGGCAGCCTCTTTCCCAGTGGTTTCTACTTGTATGTGTTTGGCTCATCATTCAATCTTTCTGAGGCCTTGAACCCTTTCTGGGCTTCATTTCGAACTGGATACCCTACAGGTATCCAAGTTCACATTCAAAACGGCACCTGTTTTCCTCCTTCATACCTGCGTTTTGCACTAGTGTTCCCTATCTTGGTTAACGGAAACGTAATTCTCCCACTTACCTAACCTAATGATTGCATATATCTTTAATTCTTCATTTCTTTTTACCCTCTAAATCTAATGGGTTATCATATTATGTTATCTCTGTCTCTTTGTCCTTTCCTGTTCATTCCTGCTGTACTTTCACAGAGAGAATTAGTAATAGTTACTTACGGGTCTGTGCTTACATTAAGGGAGCTACCAAGATTCTTGTACAGAATCCTGAGTTTCATAGTTCAGTTTCAGATCACTTTTGCTGTTTAGTTTCTCCTTAGTCTTTCTCATCAGTTCATCTCTTTTCTTGCTTCGGAATAAGTGACCTTCCTTTGCTCGCTTATGTCCTCAGTACCCCACATACATCCCCCATTTCTTCTGCCTGGCATAGATATTGAATCTCTAAGCCAGCATTAGTTCAGCATACCTCTGCCTTTTTTCTTCTCTTTCTCTTTTTCTTTTACAAATTCAGAGTAGGTGAAGGATCTTATGACCTTGTCCTTTTCTTGTGTGGCCATCTCCACTTAGCTCATGAAAGACACTGTCTCAGTACCATATTCCACCATGCCATTATAGTTGTTCCTTAAACCTAGCTCTGATTGCATTCAAGCCTTGCTTTAGACCTTTTCATGGTTCCCTGTTTACCAGTCTCATCTGAGACACGTTAGCATAGGACCAAGGTTTTTTGTCATCTGGCTACCCGCCACCTTTCCAGCCTCATCTCTTGTCATCTATCCTGTTTTCTGAAATGGAAATATTTATAGATTATTTCATTTAGTTAAGATGTACTGAGCACCTGTTATGAGCTAGGTACTGTTCTAAGCATTGGAAACATAGCTCAAAAACAGACACAGCTTGCATTCTAATGCCTTGAACATATCATGCACTTTTGTGTCCCCTTTCCTTATCTAATTCCCTCTTCAGAATACTACCATTTCTCTTCCCTGCTTCGCAAAATCCTACACAGCCTGCACAGTTCAGTGCAAAGGTCACCACCTATTGTAGAACCACCTGCCGTTTCTCACCTCCAGCAAAATTAGTTGATTTATGTTCAGGATTTACAAAGCACCATTCTTGCCATTATTCTAGAACTTGTAACACTTTATGGTCTTGTTTGTATCAGATCTTCCCTGCTAAATCATCCACCATTTGAGGTAGTCCCGGTACAGAACGGGTGTTTAGTCCGTGGTCATTGAATTGAATTGTCTTTTGCTTCGGTCATGTTTCTAGGGCGTACATTCACTATTAGAGTAGGCCTTCCTGGCTTCATGCTTAGATGATAGCAGCATTCTGTTGACTCGTGTCTCCTGTTTGTTTTTCTCGTAG